ATCATCCCCCTCTCCTCCCCTTCCAACCTCCCAGGAACCAGCCCTAACATACACCCAGATCTCCCTCGTAGCCTTCGGCAACAGCATCCAATCCTACCTCACAACCTCCTACACCGCGCGCCTCTACGCCGGTCCGAAACCCTCCCCCTCCAATCCCCCCCGCACCCCATCATCCGCCTCGCGACTATCGTCATCCCCCGTCACGCCCCTCCAGTCGCGGACGTTCGGGACGTGGACGCTGATCCAGAGCGCGACGCGGATGTACGCCGCGTACAACATCGCCCACCCGGCCTTCTACCAGCTGGCCTTCATCACGTATGCGGTGGCGTGGGCCCACTTCATGAGTGAGTGGTGGGTGTACCGGACGGCGAGGTTAGGGGAGGGACTGGTGTTTCCGGTGTGTGTGGCGACGGGGAGTCTGGTGTGGATGTGGGTGCAGTGGGATTTTTACGTGCCCTCTTAGCCACCGGTTGAGATATAACAGGGGTGTGTGTGTGTATTGAGGGAGGAGGAAGCTCAGCAGGAAATGTACGGCCTATGTTTACGGACGAACTCTTTGCTATGCTATGCTCTGGTATCTAAGTCGAGGTGGCGAGATGGAGCAAGGTTACTTGGGGTTCCTCCTGTATAGCTCTCCTCCACAGTCCTCGCGCAACCTTTTGGCAGCTTGCTCGGGCGTGATATCCCGCTGCGGCTCAGCCATCAACTCGTAACCTACAAGAAACTTGCGCACTGTGGCGCTGCGCAGAAGAGGAGGGTAGAAATGCATATGCAGATGACTGCTGTTGATCTCATCATCCGTGCCTTCGAGGGGAGCTTGATGGATGCCAGAGCCTGCTCTCATTAACGCTCATCCATCGCTAACTCCCGAGCGACCACAACCGAGTCTAAGCAAGGAAGGAATAGAAAGGGGGTCACCTACTATACGGAAAGCTCGTCTCGAACAAATTATCATACCTCCTCGTAACCTCACCTACGGCCTCCGCGAAATCCCCCTGCTCGCTCTCACTCAGATCAACAAGCGCCCTCTTATGCGCCTTGCTCACCACCATGACCTCGAACGGCCATACCGCCCACCACGGACATAAGACCAGAAAGCTTGCATTCTCAAACACCACTCTCTCCCTCTTCTCCAGCTCCACTTTCACGTAATCGCACAGCAAACTTCTCCCCTTCTCTCGCATGTAAGCGACCTGATTCGTGAGTTCCGTAGCAGGCTCCTCGGGGAGACCGGTCGTCGTCCATATCTGCCCGTGCGGATGCGGGTTCGAGCACCCCATCGCCGCGCCTTTGTTCTCAAATATTTGCATCCAGCGGTACTGCTCTACTGTCTTCACCAGTTCTTGTCCCGCTGCTGGAGCTGGTTGGGGGATCTTGGACAAGGGGGAGGACGGAGAGATGTGTGATGCGTAGAGTGCGGTCCATGTTTTTACTACGGGGAGGATCTCGAGGGGGGTGAGGTCTGCGAGCGTTTTGTTGTGCGTCGGGGAGAAGGTTAGCACGTAGCATTTTCCTGTCACGGGGGCAGCGCGGAGGAGGGTGTTGGAGAGGTCTGTTGAGGATGGATGGGATTGATGTGTCAGCTTTGAAAAAGATTTCTTTTGTTTTGTGGCTGTTGGCTATGAGCAGTGCGCCAGGACTGACCATTGGCGTCTCCGTCGGCTTGATACTCGGCCTGGGATTCCTTTACTGCGCTGTAGTCGTTAACGAAGAAGAACGGCTCCTTATACGACGGGTTCACATCGCCTTGGGCTCTTTTGTTGCCCGGGCAGAGGTAGCACTGTTGGTATCAAAATCTCTTCTGTCATGCGGTATTTGAGGTGGAGTACCTCAGGATCGTATTCTGGAAGTGTGACTCTTAAAGGCTCTTCTTTCTGACCTCTGAAATTCTATTAGTACTCTGTGGTGGTTATACTTGGGTTGAAGATATATATACTGACTGCCATGGCCTCTTGGTACGATGCGGAGAGACAAGCAGCCAGCTACCCCGGAGTGGGTTGTAGCGGCGATGCGAGATATCGTTGAGGATTTCGTCGGGCATTTGCATATTTTCCGGCTCCACCGGTCAGTCCTTCCTGGATGCAAAAGCTGGATGCCAGAGAAACTTTGTTTTGTGTTGAGAGTTGATTGAGGAAATCGAGAATCGCAAGATGGGATGAATATGGGTGACGTAGGAATCTCATTAGCGGGGTATAAGTCAGGATCTGCAGGCGTACAGGTCCACTATTAGACAGACAAGAAAGTGTACGTGCGCCATTGATGTGCTTTATTTTAACGTCAACAAAAAACAAACAGGCACTCTAATATAAATAAGAACGTGACCCCGCGTTCAGAGCCTATTGCAGCTATTGGGTTTTTCTCCGTCTTAGTTTCTAATCGGCAAACATAGTTAGCAAAGTCCATTTCCTCCCTTTTAGCAGAATAGTCTGTTCCTCAGTCGAGGACCTTCATCGTCTTTGGTACAAAACATAGTGACAAATACTTCTTTCGGTGTCTCTTCTCCAATCCTCATTTCCTTCGCTCGTACCTCGTTGTTCCAGATGTGCTTTAGGTTCACAGGGCCCTCGTCTACCTCTAGAAAACAGGATCCCATGGTGAGAGGAACAGAGGCGCGGATTTTCTCGTTCTTGTCTAACGCCCGGGCAACATCACTCGTCTTGTCAAGACCAAGTTGTGTTGCCCCCCATTCCTCGGTCAATTTCATCCCGTCGATCAAATCAATTATGCCCGCCCAGCTCAGAGTTTCGAGTAGACTTTGGGCAAATACATGAAGCTTCCGGAATGGAGTCCCATTTGGCTCCATTCGAAATTCGATGGGTCACAAACAAGCTGGCAGTCGTGTGCAGCTATGATATCGAAGTGGAGATTAAGAACCTTCAACTTGAGTCGGGTAAATGTGTGCCGCAAAGAGTATATTTGCGGAGGGGCATCGTGCCGACAAGATTCGTAGACTTTGTTATGCGGGGCTTGAGTTCAACACGTCGGACGCTTTATCCAAGAGTTCTGCTGGTACACAGAGCTGCCAGCCCTAGATCACAGGTCAGATTGTGCCTGTATTCGGTCGACTAAGGATTTCGTAGATCTGGGAGACTCACAAGTCTAGCTCTCCACACACCATAATGCTTCAAGGCCGAAACTCCAACCAAGCATCAGGTGACACCAGCATCATCGAAGATTTTGACGACCTTCAGTATTTCTAAAGTGCCGTGGCCCCCAGAGTCCAGCAGAATGACATCCTTTTGAACAGCCGTTGCTTTCTCGGTGGCCATACTGAAATCAGTTTGGATAGGACTTAGACGACCAATACTGTGAATACCAATCTCACAATGCTTGGTAGTGGTAGGAAAGCTTCTGGAAGCGGAGGATGGAGTAGTTGTGATTGAGAGTGTCTGATAAAAATTGAACTCGCTTGACTAGTCTCGCCCTTCTGTGTCGGTAGAAGCGCGATTATTATGAGCCTCTATTGCTCAACATCAAACGAAGTCTTGATGTATAATAATATAGTTTATATTAGCAATTCGCATTATCTGCTGCCTTTTCAGCAGAAGAAACTGGCTGCTGATGTACTGTCACGTAATATATCACCATCATAGCGCTCTAAACATGTTAGACCAAGCTGCAAAGAGGCATATAAAGTCAACATCAATGGGCAAATCTGCCTATCAAAAAGCTTCAGTAGGGCTCGAGTACGCTGCCGAATCTTTCTGATCGAGTAGCATCAATAGTCTTTCGAGATTTTGACCCATATGCTCACCAGCAGCAGCAGGTAAGATACTCCAAAGGCTCGAGGCCTGCCGAGGCCAATCCATCTTTCCAGTACATTTCGCTACTAGATCACGTGCCTGGCAAGCTGCCTAGCTACTAAGCGAGGTTACGTACAGCATATGTACATAGCAGTTGCTCTTTGGATGACGAATCGACGAGGGAGCGTGTCCGAGAAAGCTATCGCTGCGTTCTCGGCGAAGCTACCGATGGTTCGATTGAGCTTTAGCAATGGCTGCGAAACTGGATGCACGTCTACTCTAAGGCAAAACCGTCTTGGAGCCCCCGGTATAAGAAATCATCGGTTCCTCGGCAGCAAAGGACCTTTCTTAGAGCAACGGCTTAAAGGCTTGACCCTAGCTAGGTCAGCACCCGAGCCAGAACCCGATGCAGCAGAGAGGATAAGCGCAGCGAGTTGTAGTTTCGCGGGGTGGCCACGAGTATCAGGTATAGCGATGAGTTTTACGGGTCGCGTTGCGCTTGGTACACATCTGAAGAAGGGCCCATGGTGTTTATAGTATAAGGAACAGGGAGAGTTTATTGTGCGTGACCTTAGTAGCGATTATGCTTGATTGCTACCTATTGCTCCAGATTTGCGCTTCTGGGTTAGTTTGAGCAGCTTCTTTCCAAGCATTCTTTATTTACCTCGCCTTCAATTCTCTTCTGGTTCACGCGAGGCTTATTTAGAAGTAAGGGGATTTTTTCAGTGAAGCACGGGCAGGCATGCAGGCAAGCTTGATGGGGGTGAAAGCGTAAATTGATTCCTGATCAAATTTTCGTATAACGCAATGATGCTAGACAATCCCATCGAGTCCGAGCTATACCACAGTCCAATCCAGGCTATTTGGGATTTTTTTGGGAAACCAGCTCCTCATGGATTGCAAACCCAAGAAGAGACTGCGTCGTTGAGATAAGCAATTTGTGGGAGTTTTAAAATGTCACTAACGATACCGTCATAAGTGAAATAAGGGCCAGAACACCCGTGGTCCCTGTTTTCTCGATTAGCTTTCTGGACTTGGGTTAAAGGGCAGTACAAGAGCCTTACCTATAGAACTGGCATGAGACGTCCCGAGTATCAATACTGGTTATCTTATCATCTAAATTCGAGCTCAGATCACCTGCAACCTGGTAAGCTTCGATCCAATGTTTTGGGAAAATAGATTCTTACTGCAGCGGCCTGCGGTCCAAGTGAAGTCCCAGCAGTCAGATCGGTTAGGGTCGATGCAAAGCGAGATTTGCCGGTTGTCCTGTCTGGCAGAGAGATCGGCAGGTGCTGCTGTTACGACAGAGACTGAGAGAACAGCTGCGGCGACGATAGGCTTGATGAACATCATATTGATGGAGTAGTAAGTATAATGTGCTAATAGGGAAAGTTGGATATTCGAAGCAGAAACCGAAGAATTATGATTGTTGAAGATAGCATATGATTGAGAATCCTTTGAGATGACTTCTGGTACCTATACCTATATACCTTTGCAGACCCTTCAACTTGTCTTTCCGGCCCGACATATTAGACATACTTTAATAAATTAGTCTTTCTTGTGCTCATCGCTTCCAGATGTTTCAGAAGTTCAGAAGCCATGTTAATACCGTATCCTCTGGTTTAAATGAGACCTTGGCAAGCCGTGCGTGGTGGAGCCAGCCAAGTAGAGAAGCGAGAAAAAAGGTTTATTCAGTTAGCAAAATCCAACGTCGAGAAGATGGTAAAGGTCAGAATTAAGCGAATACTAATATTTTCGTTCCTTTTTGTAATTTATTTTATTTTAATAGATATATTTAAATATATATTGCAGTTAAATCTATACTTTCTATTACTTTCGATCAATTTTCATATTCGGTTTCATTTTCGTTTACTTACACGATTTCTTTTGCAATTTTTCGTGCTTTTCTATAAGCAATTTTTGCTTTTTTCTAGCTTTTTTTCCTTAACCTTAATATCGTTTTCGCTCTTTCTACGAGTTTTATTAAATAATCTTAGCATATCGATTAATTCGGCGTTTTTCTTTGTAAAAAAGCCTCGAATATTGCGCTCTTTTATTAAATCTATTAGATTTTTTTTCCGCAGTTGCTCGTATTCATCGCATTCTACTTATTCGAAATCTACATCCTAATCGCGTTATAGTGGAGTTTAATAATGGGCAAAGACATGTCAGCATATCAAGATGTAATACTCTCCCCCCCCATGAATAAATGTCGGACCCAGTTTAGGCCCATAAATCATAGAATAGTGGTTTCTTAATGGCTCAAAGCCTTGTGAACTCCACTGTATAGACTAAATACTGGCTCAAAGATACTTTTCAAAGCTGAATCCTTATAAGTTGATTGGTTTAAGCCCTGGTAAGATCTCTTGCGAAATTATACTTTCGACATTTATTCATGGGGGGGGAGAGTAGCAATGCAATTCTATTCATTTTGGCTGCTCAAACGCTATAGATTTTGATACTTGGCATTTCTGAGTTATCAATTCCTGCCAATCGGTCACTTATCGCCGGTGCCCGTCTCCACCACGCTCGGCTTGCCAAGGTCTCATTTAAACCAGAGGATACCAGTACTGTACAAGTATTAAATGATTCTTAAAATAGAATCCAGAAGTGCCCCTCGAGTGCCCCTCCCTGAAACAAAGACGGGGCCGCCCAGTTTTCGCCCCGCAAATCGGAAAAACGGAAGGTCTCTGAGCGACTCCAAAGCCTTGTTAAAGTACGGAGGTGGCCGGGGGTAAATTATGGCAGACCGCCTTCATGCGACGAACAACGGCGACGAATTTAGGAGGCTTGGGAGTGGGAGTATGTAGTTACGCCAGGTCTTTTGATCGAATTGCTTCAATCAATGCCTGAGCGCATAAAAGCAGTAATTGCACTTACTGTTAGGTGTAGTGTAGTATAGGGTACGGTAGTCGTGTACCGGTAAGGTAGTAAATTCAATGAAATGATGGGAGAGCCACTCTTGACTTTTCTGCCGATAATTCTGCCGATAATTCTGCCGATAATTCTGCCGATAATTCTGCCGATAATTCTGCCGACGGCGGACGGCGGTCTGCCGCCGCCTTTAACCCATCTCTACACCCCAGGATACGGTAGATACCGTAGCAGAACCTCTCCAAAACAATATCACACTGGCCGCCTCCTTCGCTAACGAAAGCCGTGGTACTACTAGGTATAACTTACCTTTTGCACCTCCGTCATAGCAAATCCAGCTTAGCACCCTAAATCGCACTTCTTCCCAGGCGAGCGAAATAATTAAATAATTACACGTTGTTAGTTCTCTAAGCGAGTATACAAGATAATTCTTCGACTGCCCTCTCCTTTCCTACGAAACCAGATTTCGTTACATGTCTTTGCCAATCGAGCGCACTTCCGATCTTAGAAGGTTATTCAGCTATCCTCGAAAACCTTTTGTCCTTTACGCGATGCTCTTTTCCCAAGCGAAACCAACATACTCTTACTTAAAGATTGTCATTCAAGCGGGGTTCGGAAACGGGGGATTCGGATTTCCGGACCTCTTTAAGCACTTCAAAGCATATCTCTTTCGCTTGGAGTAGAATCAAGACCCTTACGGAGACGCCCCACCGCCTTATTTTGCCGATACAGTAACAAAATGCGTGGGCAATTGCTGTGTGCTAAGCGAGATAAAATACCCTTTACTTTCTCCTTCCCCATCAAATGAACGTTAAAACGCCAGCAGAAATCTCCGGAGCCGCGAATACGAGGCTGTGAAAAAACTCAATCCTCTCCGCACAACCTTGGCTGAAAAATACATTTTCAGGAGTTGCCGATCCATACTTGCGGATCCGGATTCCGGTCGAGCATACCACACATACCTCCGAGTTTATTACTTAGTGCGTGTTGCATTTTTTCATTTTCAGCCGCGACCGTCGCCATCGTCGTGCCTTGGGACTCTTCGACTCCGAATCTTTGGTCTTTAGTGGGTCCGTAGAGTAGCATGAATGCCACGACGTATATTTTGTAGCGCGAGCGTAGTGGCAGGTGCCGCTGGTGGTGTATCAATCAAGCTGTGGATAATATTCACCTCCTTGTTTTCCTTTCTTACTAATCAACCTTTACTTTCTGCATTCACGAAGTACGTAGTACTACAGATATACAGTATTACATAACGATTAATTTAATGTATTTTACGCAGCTTGCAGATACCACGGTACAGGCGTAAGTACTACGTCCCAGGCGTAAGTATTACCCCTCGAGGGTAGGGTAACCAGGGGGTTTAAAGTGGAAACTAAACTTTCGAGGCACCCTCGAGGGGTAATACTTACGCCTGGGACGTACTCTCCCCCCCCATGAATAAATGTCGAAAGTATAATTTCGCAAGAGATCTTACCAGGGCTTAAACCAATCAACTTACTACGTATAAGGATCCAGCTTTGAAAGGTATCTTTAAGCCAGTAATTAGTCTATACAGTGGAGTTGACAGGGCTTTGAGCCATTAAGAAACCACCGCTCTATGATTTATGGGCCTAAACTGGGTCCGACATTTATTCATGGGGGGGGAGAGTAGTAGTAATTTTCCATCTTTTGCTTTGCGTGTTTTGAATTCGATTTATTGATTGCAAAGTTAAAGAACGTTTAATAAAAAAAATGCTGTTAAACATGCTCGATGGGATTGAAATCGAAGTAACAAAGTAGCCAATTAATTAACAAGATAGTCTTGTTTTTGCCGAATCAAAGCCGAATCTTCTTTGCAATATAAATCGATGCATTATTTTATTGAAACTAATATTTGCCGAGCAATTTTCGAAAGATTAGCTTAGCTTTAGCTCCGAAGACTTTAATATAAGATCGTATCGAATACGTATGTTTTTTTCGACTTGAAATCTCGATTTATAATATAAAAATTCGATTTCTTGCAGTTTCAAAAAGCTTCCTAAACTATCACTTTTATATTCTTTTTCGCGTCGTATATTTACACTATTCGACGATTTTATTTCTCTCCGAGCGTGCGAAAAACTTACTCGGTCTCTTTCCTTCGACCTTGCTCGATAAAGCATTTCTTTGAGCAAACAATTTCTCTTCGGTCTTTTACCGTTTGTCTTCCATATGATGGAGGGTTGTTAAAAAACCGATGAGCTTTAATGAACAATTGTCGAGGTTCTTCCTGCTCTCTCTCTCGAGTCAACGGTAGAAGAATTGACATAAGCCGTTCTCATAGATCCAGTTGTTATAGTAGGGAAAGGATATCGCTTTTCGTTTTCGGTATATCATAAATCGATTCTCGTTTTCGGATTCGTGGAGATAAGGACTATCTTGATTCTGGTTTGCGTTGGCCCGATGATTCGTCACTCGGGCCAGTTAAATGAACTCAATGCTTGTTAAGGGCAGCTGTGGCTTCCGAATCCGGTTGTTACACTTCGTAGTCTAATAGAAAGCTTGACTCGAAGAAAGGGGTATCTTCGATATACTGCTACTTTGGAAAGATGTCCGGTTAGAATTATGTATTGTACAAGCTAGGTTCCAGGATTGAAAACATTTTCCTGTTTGTTGGCTGCATGTGGCGGCTGTCGGGCTAGCGCCTTTGAGTCGAGACCTCAGAGTGATTGATCAGGCGGTCCTCCGATATACAGTGTCGCATTTTCAGCTCTGGACTATGCACCGTTCTTGACAAATTGTCTCGGCTCGCATAATACAGTTGCTGGATATAAAGCCATTGTCTAAAATCCATGGCCATATGATGATTTTTGATAGGCTTGGGCTCGGTGATAGTGTGGACGCGGTTTCATTTTGCTCTTTTCGTGATTATCAAGAGTTTGATAAGGCTAGAAGCATACAGCAAGGACCTGGTAGACGTAAAGTTGATCATCTCGATAGGATATAATGCAAGCTCTATACAAGTCTGCTTCAGAGAACTGCTGGCCAGAGTTATCTAGACATTGTCAACTATGAATCCACCCCGGAATATCTGAAGCCTACGAGAAGAGGCATGATTCTTCTTTCCATCCGGGAGCGTGTGGCACGTTGAGAGTCTATCAGAGGCCAGTGTTGAATCTCAGCTTGAGGACCGTCTTGTTTTACTTCGTTACTCGTATTCGTTCACTCATTGTATTTTTTCCCTTTATTTCGATCGTTTTAAAGATATAAGATTTTTCTTCTTCTTTGGTTCTTAATTGAGCAGTGCTTCGCAACTAAGAGGTGTGTTGTGCAGTATAGCCCTCACGTGCTTGCCAAGCTGCCTAGCTATTAGGCGAGGCAACGTGCCGCATATGTATATAGCAGTTGCTCTTTTGCTCTCCTGAATAGATCAGACACTTCTTACCACCTTTGCTGACACCCTGCTCAGTACTCCGCCTATAACTACCTACGTCCAGATCTGCCACCATAAACTTCTATTATCAGTCAAGATCCAACGCAAATCAGAGCCTAGTTATACCAGAATCGATACCTCCGAGTCCTGCCTTTGTAGAGCAGACCACGCAAGCTCCTTCGCTGCAAGAGCGAATGGCTCATCCTGCAGTATAGAATCTAGGAAGTTCACAGATGATGAACTCAAAACACTTAGATGCTTTTGAGTCTTGACGGTCTCGAAAAAGAAACCGACCACGACCGGTTCCACTTTAGAGGATGTGTCCCTCAAATCTTCCAAGAGCATGAACAGCTTAGAAACCGTAACCCTTGACTGCACGACTCTTAGAGCGTTTGGTGAGTAGGAGCCAAGGAGGAGGATGTTGTGGCAGACACGGAGCTCGATGTACTAAATTGATTATCGTTTCTCGTGCTAAGAGAGTTCAAAGAGTCAGGTATAGTGATGAAAAAAGTGTAGCTGAGCTGCCGAGAAGAAGCTTTCTCACAATCCAACAGGATATCGACCCCTGATTTCTTCTTTCGAATTATTAATTTACGGAGGCCAAAACCGAAAACCTATAAAAGAACCGCGGGAACTTGACCCTTGATTGCCAGACTATCATCTCACGAAAGAGCATAATTCATCAAAACAATTGGCCATGCCTGAAGATAGCGAGACTTGTTTTATAGACAAGTCACCTCGAAGGGCTGTTCTTGTCGCTGTTTTGCTCCCTGTATGTCTCCTGGGTCGATTCACCTTTCTTTTACTTATTGTTTCCACCAGTAGTAGACTACTCTCGTTGAGCTTCTTGCTGCCAAATTTGCCAAATCTTCATATATATGCTTATATCCAGTGTATGTTCTGATGTTTTTTAAACATACCGGACTGCTGAGGGCCTAGTTAGACTCGATGAAGACCAACTATTGCTAGTATCAGTCTGAATGATGATAGTACTAGTTGAGTGTCGCGAGGAAGCTTTGCTGATGATGTTGGTTGAATGACTTGATTATCTAGGACTAGGAATTGGGGGCGAGGTTGTAGTGGGAGCGTGCCCAGGCCGAGGTCCGTGCACTGACCATTGGTCCCTGCTCTCAACTTACACTTTACCTAGCAACACCAACGATCTTGTTCATGATTCCTTGATAGTTCATGGCAGGAGAAATGTCAATTTCAAGAATCAATTGGTGAACTGAAGTTTTGTACTCAGATCATAATCACCTTTGCCCGCAGCACTTAACGAGTTTTAAAAGCAGATAGATATGTAGGGATATATATTATGACCAGTAACTGGGCACTAGCGGGCATCAGCAAAAAATATCAAATTCCTACCAAAATCTCATGCAACTATAAGGTTCTGGTGTTTGTACATTTTCCCAATATTATCAAGCTATGTGCGCTATGTATCTCTGACTGAAAGCGTTGCAGATCGTGCCCGCGCATAGCGCTTTCCTCTTCCGAGTTCAATATTTTCCATAAAATTTGGCAATCACTAGTCTGCTACCACCTTCTTTCTTGCTGTCAATCCAAAGATTCGGTGATCTTGAATTTCATCCAGCAGGGCTGTGGGCCACACCAGCATCTGAGCATCGCTTCGGTGATGATGGCCAGGGCTAAGACGATAATGATGGCATGGGTCACTGCCTGCCCCCGCCGTAGATTTGGCCGACGTGTAGAGGTATTTCTTTTCTTCTTCTTTCAAGTTCTGAGTTCGAATGCGATCAATGTCGAGTGATGATAAAATTACACGATAATACCGGCGGTACCTACTGATGCTTTTCTCTGCAATACACACAGCCATGAGCCATCCATATTTTCATTAAAGAATTCATGAGACGTATTACCCACATAGTCCGGCTGCTGGACGCTTGGCCGCAGGTTTTGTTTGCCAAGTCTCCCCTTTTTCGCCCTTAAGCGAGCAGGTTAGCAACACCACCCACCTATATTCTCCCCAGCTACATCCGCCATATCGCACAGCTTCACATCGGTCAATTTCAGTATTGCTAATATGCATCGATATCCACTTTAAGAAGTTGGGATCAGCGAACGAGCGCGGAAACACGCGTAAATTCGGCTGCTAATTCAAGAAAAGCCGAATATGCACTTGCGTTCCCATTACAACTTTAGAATGCGAAAAGGTTCAGGAGTGCGAGCCAAACAGGTCCTAAAAGAACGAAAAATGCTGCAAGGTCAATAAAAATTAGAATCGTACACAGTATCAATAAGAAAAAAGCAATTGATTATCGTTGCCCTGAGCCGTGCCAGCCGTATATCTCAAACCCGCATATCATCTCTCAGACGAAATACGGCTGTAAATCTCACCTAGGAAACGAATGGGCGAGTCCGTATATGTGAGGCTCAAGCAGAATTTCTCCCAATTAAAAAAAACCCCATTCTATCTATCTCGGAAAAACCCGCCTCCATAAAACTTGCGTGAATGTCATAAGTCACAATTCCGCGGCCGGATGGTATATACCCAGTGGCGTGGTTGGCATAGACGTTGTCAACTTCAGGTCAAGCTGGGTGTGGGGGGATTGAATCTCATTGTAACGATTTGGGGCCGAGTGGTTTAGACTCACCAGACCACACACGACAAAAAAAAAGCGAATTCGGATCAAAATGAAAACCTATTACAGAGGCTTTTCTTCTCCTACCGAGAGGTGGGAGTTTGTTTTGCTATTTTTTATTTTTATTTTTTCTTTATTTTTTTCTTTCTTTCTTTCTTTTTGTCCTTTTTTTTTTTTCTCAATTTCTATCTCTCGGCGCTTATCTTCTATTTTGAGATTAGGGGTTTAGTTGAAGGGATAACTAAGTATTGTTAGTTTCCTGTTTAAGGATGATATATACCTTTTAAGGCAGGGGGCTATATCGCTGACGATTATAGCTGGTCTTGCGCGTTTGAATGTGTATTTATTTTCTGGGCTTGAAATAATTATAATCAGAATGGATATATCCATCTTCTGCACAGGATCTATACCAGCCCCCAGATTTCCGTCCGGACGCTACACGCTGATATTCTCGCAAATTGGTTTCCTGCGCTTTATGCATTTCAATGAGCATTTCGTGATTATTTTATTATTAATCTTATAAGCTCCGATATCGATAGAGTAAGCAGATAAGGAGCAGAGCGAAGAGATTGGGGAGGAAAAAAGAAAATGGATACTCGAGAGGCTACGATAAAGTATCACGATGACTTAATTAATAAGGTGGTATGAGCCGGTACTGCGGTTAAGAGACGGCATTTCATACAGAGCTAACAAATGCTAACTAAACATCATCTTGCGTTTCCGCGAGGAAACGGAACAGAATAGAATTCTGTAAAACTCGACCGTGCCAGCTGGTAATCCCCGATATCTTTATATTCCATGCTGTTCTTTTCCTAATGCATAATAAACCTTGCTCAAAAATATGTGTAGGGCGAGAGCCGCTCGTATAGGCAAGACCCAGTGCCAACGCGCGCTCTGGAATCCACTTATATCATACCGCAGCTTCAAAACCCCGAATCTATCCCTCCTCGCGCCAGATCCCAATACCCAAAGTCGCTAGACAATTGGATGGGGTGTCGACCAAAACAAGCCAGCAGAATCTTCACCATCCAGGGTCCTTCCTTTCGCTCCCACGCTCGTTGTAATACCTCGTCGTCCCATCAGCCGTCACATACTCCTTCTCTCTTTCCATCCTCACCCCAACCAGAGCCGCAGATGAAGATGCAGCCGCCCGCCCAGGTCTCAAGTACTCAGTAGCACTGTGGTACGCCTCATCATCCTCGTCATCGCCATGATGATGATTATGCACATACACATAATCATCCCTATTCTTCCTCTCCCTCTGTCTCTTCTTCAACTCATACTCCTCTCCAGACTTATCTGCAGCCCACGACCACAGCACTGGCTGCTCCTGCTCGTGCTGCGCACCCCTTCTCAATCTCGAACTGGTCGACACGTGAGGAACCTCGTAGTACGACCCGGTACTGCTGCGACTCGAGTCGTCATATAGATACGGTCTCTCGTCCCTCCTATCCCTCGGCTGCGCGCAGGAGTCGGAATTCTCCCCGTGGTAACCACTAGCCACCGGACGACCCGGCTTCTCAAAGCGCCTACCCATCCGCGCTTTGAGATCGGCGTTGACGCTAGCGTCGGGATCACTGCGATACATATCGTGGAAATCCTGCTCGCTACTCGCCCGAGGACTCTTCTCCCACTGCCTCTGCGTCTTGTACTTCGCCCCTCCTCTCCCGCTCCCTCTCCCTGTAAATATCCTTCTCCCCCTTTCTTCCTCTCTCGCCCTCGCTTCCTCGTCAGACTGCTGCTGCTGCTGCTGAGCCTTCATCGCCCTCGCCGTCTCCACAGCCGCAGCTCTCGCTCTCTCCGCTTGCCACTGCTCCTCCACCTCTTGATTATCTTCTTCTCGGCGTCTCTCTTCCGCTTCTTGCTCTCTGACTAGCGCCTCCTGCTGGGTGCGGAGGAGTCGCGCCTGGGCTTGGGCTTCGGCCTCGGCCTCGGTCTGCGCTTTACGATCGGCTTGCTCGAGTTTGCGAGCGAGCTCTGCGTCTTCTCGCTGTTGGATCTCGCGCTGCTCGGCTTCTCTCAGCTTCTGGGCCTGGAGCTCCGCTTGGAGCTCGGCTTCGCGCTGGGCGGCGGCGCGCTGACCGACGAAATAGTTGTAGTCTGTTTGTTGTTGTAAGCTATGTATATACTATATTTTGACAGTGTTACCCTGTCAACGGGGTGCTTACGGCTCAGGCAGAACGGAGCAGGGAGGTTGTCGAGGCGGCCTTCTTGGCAGTGCTGCATGTTACAGCAGTCTGGATATTTTTCAGCTTGTGTAGCGTAGCCTGAGGAGTGTGAAGCGAAGTTACTTACGTGCCTGGCAGTGGCTCTTGCCCGGCAGCCTTTTCATCAGACAGCCTGGCCTCTCGCACTCATCTGGATAGTCTTGTTAGCAGAAATTCAAGGCCTCGAGGGGTTTTACATACGATCTCGGCAAAACGCAGCCCAGCGCAGAGTCTCTCCAAGCTCACTGCGCTTCCGGATCGCGCGGCAGCTCGACTCGGGGCACTTGTGTTCGTCGCAGTAGTCAACTCCTTTCCCGGGCCGGGCATACATGGGGCAGTTTGCGAAAGTGCAAGAGTGTAGATGACAGTGTAGGGATCGGTCTAAGCGGACCAGTTGGCAGCCATCGACGTTGCACTTTGGCGGCGGAGGCGGCGGAATGGCGTCTTTTGCTTCAGTTAGTTGAATGTCGAGAGATGGCTGTGGGTGGGAGTACATACGCTCATCGCATCGTGCCTGGTGCTTGCTCTTCCGGATATTACACGGCACTCCAAGTCTAACTATTGGGCACAGGTCTGCTGCAAGTCAGTACCAATGTCGTAGTACTAGTACGTACCCTCAAGACGGGGAAGAATTTACGTTGATCACAGAACCAAGCGAAATCTGTATGCTTATTCTTCTCATAAATTCTTCTGCAATCATCGCACTCCTTCCTCTGCAGATCGCGATGCTCGTGGTGGTTGTGTCCGCCCGCCATGGTTGTGGTACTTGGTTGTCTAAAGCTCAACTTTATATAAGGCTCGATCAGAAATCGAGGCCAGCAGCAGCCGTCCGGTATTTAAGCCACAGTAAACCCTGTCACAAAGACCGAAGCCTTGAAACCTATCTCAAGGGGAGCAAAGAGCGAGAAGAAAGATGATGGAGGAAAGATTGTTGAAACGGCAGGGCGAAGCGGTCTTTCATCAACTAGCGCAGCCTGAAACCCGCAACACAAAAATGCCCAAGGAGACCAGTGAAGAGGATGGAAGGAAGATGCGATATACGACTTAGATCTCGGTGAGATAGCACTCAGGGGTATGAAAGAGGCTTTTGATGCAAGGGAGAAAAAAGGGCTGATTCTTTGCCCGGCTCAAGAGTGTGTGAGGCAAGATGGCGCAAGACGATCACAGCTGGCCCTTCCTGTGACTCTTTATATACTTTCAGACCATATTTTATCGGAGCACAATAGGTGTGTTGTAACTGATCGGTGACTCAGCCGCCTGAGGTGAACAACAGTCAATGGGCTGGCTGTGTTTGGTGGGTGCGCAGCAAAGGATTCACAAATTACCAACATTGTTGAAGTCAACTAGCGAATACTTCGCTTGATTATCCTACCAAGTGAACTCGCAATACCCCAAACAACGAATTTTCGCAAACAAAAGAGAGAAGAATTCTCGGAGAAAAGCCGCGTGTGTTCCAAAGCCCTTGACGCCTGACCCGGGAAAAAATGCTGCACGAAGCATGTCGTGGTACACAAAGGCAGCGCAGCGCTACACGACTCCTAGCAAACCGTCCTCAAAATGCTGTCCTTTCCCTGCATCCGAGCTAGGGGCAGCAATCTCGCTCTGCTGGCTTAGCCCGGTCGGTGGCTCGCTCGCTATTGGCAAAAAGCGCGATCGAATGGTATGATGATTACCTCGTGCCCAGGCAGAGCAGGGCAGAGCCGCGATCGAGGCGGATTCGGAAGCTGAGCTTTCTGGCTTCTGGCTTGGTGAATCGTGGAACGCTTGAGAGCGGACTTCTACATTGCGAAGTTGCATGAGTGCAGGTATTAAGTTTATATCAGTTGATGTGGTGCGTTCACAAAGAAGGAAGGCAAGCTGGCGATTGGGATGGAAAGGAAGAAACGACATCCTCTAAGACTATCTACCAGTGCACGGATCGTGAAACCTGCACTATTGTGCCGACCAGGTACCAGTTAGCCAGGTTGAAAGCCGAGCGATTTATCGACGCTTAATAGATTTTATATATACTTCGCTCCTCTACCGAAATGGTCCGATGTGCATGGAACCCGAGATAGTGACTGGGCGGACTGTCTCCGCCCGCTATCTGTCGAGGAAAAGGCCGATATTCTAGTCAAGTATAAAGCGCAGTATAAGCAAAAGAAACGTTACGATCAACATTATCCTTGCTCAAACGGTGTATCTGTAGAACATAGCATCATCACCTTTCTCACGCTCAGCCAACTTCTGTTCATCCGAATAGTTCCCCTCGGCAAGGATAGCATCACGTCGAGCGTTCTCTCGGCGGTAGTACAACGTCATGATCGATGTCAGGATAAACGACATTGAGGTGAGTCCGATCAGAATGCAATGACCTTTGACAAACCTAAGATTCAATCATCAGTACACGGCTTGGCATCAAGAAGCGAGATGCTCACCTCGGTCCATCCTTTGACAGGTAGACAAAACCAGAGATGGCTCCTCCCAGGTTCCCGAAGCCAACTTGCATTGCAATCCCTACCCCTCGCTTCATACTGCCGCCGATGTTGTTGCTGGTCCAGGCTGTAATGAGTGGAACAAGAGAATAGATTCCTGTCGCGTGTGTCAGCAGAAACCTGTCAGATGTCGTGTTGGACATACCGGAGGCAGCCAGGAATGTCCCGGCGTATTGTACATGTGGAATCCCGTTTGTGACCAGCATTAGAAACCCGATGATTGCTAAGGACTGGAAGCCTAGCAAGAAAATCCCTCGCTGTCCTGCCTTATCAGCAGCATAGTTGCTCAGGATGGTGAAGATGCAAGCTACTACGTAGGGCGGCACGGTCATCAGCTGTGCCTTGTTATTGGTGTAACCAAGATTCTTCAAGATCGTAGGAAGAAACAGGGCAAAAGAGTATAGTGGTGTGAAGATCCCAATCGTGATCACCATGTTGACCCAGATTTTCCAGTCCTTCATGGCATGGCCTACGTATTTGAGATTGAACTCTTCGGACAGACCGCTGTCGGCCGACAATCGTCGTTCGACCTCAGTTCTTTCAGTAGTTGTCAGGAATGCGGCACTAGAGAATTTTAGCTAGAATTCTTTTACAACGCGGGAGACCTACGTTGAGGGATAATCGTTGACGGCCCAGTACGAGAAAGCACCAACCACCATGGTTAGGAGACCTTCAAGAATGAATATCCAAGCCCACGCCGGCTTCCCACCAACGCCAGCCATTTCCGAAATGCCTCGAGCGAGCAGTCCACCAAAAGCACCAGCTGCTGTAGCAGCAGAAAAGAACAATGCTATCCGAAAGCCACATTCACTGCGCCGATACCACATTGTGATGAGGTAGGTTATCCCTGGAAATAGACCGCCTTCTGCGAGACCTAGGAAAGCTCGGCACGCGAGTAGTCCTTGGAAGTTATGTATCAAGCCCGTGCAGGTCATTACCAGTCCCCATGAGACCATTATAACCGTGAACCAGATCGACGGTCTGAACCGCTTCAGCATCATGTTGCTTGGGATCTCGGCAAGGACGTAGAAAGGGAACAGGATAGCCAGGGCGATGTTGTAATCCAGACCCTTCATTTTCAAATCTGTCTCGAGGCCGGCGAGGCGCGCATTTCCAACATTGGTGCGGTCGAGAAAGCATAGGCTACAGCTGTCAGAACGTGTAAGTTCTCTGAATTCCAGTGATGCTCACAGGTAGATGAGCGCAAGGAACGGAATCAAGTGTAGATCCAGCTTGCGAAGCAATTTCTTGGTATCGACATCATTGAAGGAATTCGTGTGAGTGATGGGGTCGCTCTCTTCCGAGCCTGTCGTATCGATGTTCTTTTCTCGATGGGCAGTATCAGTCGCATCGATTCCTCCTGGCCTGATAATAGATACTGAGCCCATCGCTGGTATTGCAAGAGCGATTTCCTGAAAGTAGAAAGACTCGTGAGAATCAGTGGAAGATTCGTCACCCCAGTTGCGCATATTGGCTGTCTGAGGTCGCTCGAGGGCGGAGCTTTTATAGGTGTCTCTGCAGTGTCAAAGGTTCAGCTCGTGGCGCTTGACAAATAAGAGGTGCTGTTGTGTTCCCCGATAAGCAGGTCTGCGAAGTGATACAAAGTTGTATCTTGTATGACGAAAGCTGAAGTGGGTTCAGCAGGCCGACCACTAGCGCCATCTACAAAAGGAAGGAGCGCCGACCCAGGAAATCTACCAGTAGCTTCTGTAGAGCTTAGTTAGAAATTTGAAAGCCTTCACGGGTGTTTAACGTCTACTCACTTGTGCCGGCTCCCTTCTGGTTCCCTCTCGTCTATATATGGAACTTTCTCTGCAGTATTCTCTCCTGTAGCACAGCTGTATGCTGACTGCATCATACGTGAACCTTCTCTACTTGGGGAATAGCACTTCAGCCGGCTTGAAAGACCTTGATTCATGCTGCAATAGCTGGCTGCAGCCATACATTTGTGCCGCCAGGGAAGAAGGGAAAAGACCTCGTAGAATTGCAGAAGATAGTAGTTCATGAGTTGTAATATAAAATTGACGAGCCACTCTCGTATCGTTCTATCGTTCTATTTTCACTTGCTCAGTCTAATCTCCTCAATCTCCTCAATCTCCTCAATCTCCTCAATCTCCTCAATCTCCTCAATCTCCTCAATCTCCTCAATCTCCTCAATCTCCTCAATCTCCTCAATCTCCTCAATCTCCTCAATTTAATTCCATCTCAAGATCAGCGGATTCGACCACCGCCGAAGATCTCTATGTCCCCTCCCCTCCCAAAAAAACAAAAAGGAAAAACCCTATAATTTCTATCTCCATCTCCAACCTCTCCCCCCTTACAAAGGATTAAAGCCCGGGAGTTCACGATATCCGCTAATCCCTCAAGCGTGCCAATGAACAGCAACGTTCGAAAATTGCTTCAGCTGATCTTTCGACTGAAAGCATTTGCCCTCCATTTTCAAATCACCCTCATTTACCGCTTTCGCTGGAATAACCATCTGCAAGTGCCATTGAGGGTTTTGAACCCATGAGAAGCGCAACGCTTTCTCGGGCTCTGATATCTATTCCTCTGATGACTTGATATACTCCACGATGGCTTTTTCTTCTCCGGACCGTAAGTTTTGTTGCCTCTCACTACCAGTTGCAGTCATCTTTTTATAAGATTTCGGAATGTATACTCTATCCAAACCTTCTATCTCTCGCTCTAATAACACAATACGGACATTCTGCTATAATCTTTAAATTATTAGGATCGCTTACTATTTAAATTGTTAGCTCCGCGTAATAAGTAACGATTCATATAGATCAACTCACCCATATTAAAGCCAGGTCCTAATGGATTGTGTACGGATTCTACTACCTCTAACCCGTTATCTTGAATAATTCGCCAAGAGAAGACCTATAATTCGAGTAATTAATATAAGCTCATATACGAAAATCAAGTGAAACTTACTTCGTCAAGTGCTGCATAGCCGATGACTTTTCTCTATGGAGTGAGTCCATCTTATCTCGGACTTTATCCATATGAGCTCTACTAAAGAGCAAGCTTAAGGCTAGCAAGACTGCCAAGACAGACTTCGATCGTAGCATCGTATTGGTATACGGAGGTCTTTTAATACTGCGAGCTGACGAAAGGGAATAAGCTTGCAAAGGAAGAGGATGATAAATTTAGTCTAAAGCAGATGCAAGAAGAAACACATATATCTTTTTTGAGTTGAATTCGAAATTTCTACGTCGGTTGTAAATAATCGTGCAGCTAGTTATGGTCAGCGCACTGACTATTATATTCGTCTTTTTATTTTATATCGAAGATGTTCTCAATATGAATTATATTCATAGTATTGCAATCTTAAAAGGATTAACGTGATTACTTGTACAGAATCTCGCAATTTGATACAAATAGTACGAAGTGTCAAGATGCAGCATATGCAGGTACGGATAAACACGTTGCTGCCGTGACTTAGTATTGCGTAAACGATCGTCGGTTACCTTAAGTAATTCTTATAAAATTGATCCGACTTCAATTCAAGGTAACCGACGATTACAGTCCACAGGAAAGTAACAAAACAAAACATAAATCAAATCATTCGAAAGAAAAAGAAAACGGGTTCCGAAAACCAGCTATCGTACTCTTCTGCTTTGGTACCGGACATATACCTCGACTTTACTTCGCCCAAGTGGCGGAGGGCAGAGTTGATAGATCACTCGACATACCTCTGTATCTCTGTATCACGTTCAGGTCTATTCTATATGTTTGTATTTTGTACTTTGTACTCCGTAGCTTCTGTCTTCCCATCACGTCCACGTCTATTGTATCAAAGCTGACACCTTAAAATCCAGGCATCCAAAACCCGGCGCGTCTACTCATCCCGACCGCGTCTCTTTATCAACAGAAGGAAACACAACAATCAACCTCCCACCATGGCATTACCACTGCAGCCAGGCCTGACGCCGACAGAAGTGGCATTTCTCTGCGAAATGGAAATGATCACCGTCGTTCCGCGTCAACGCCTCGAAAGCCTGAGTCTTCTCGGTGTGAGTTTCTACCCCGCCGACCCCTCCATCCAATTCTATTCCATCCTATTATCTCCTTTTCTCATGTCATGTAAAGAACAATTATAATATACTCACAACCCCCCCAGGGCCTAACACCAGCCCTTCGCCCACCGCACCGCGCTTCCATTCCCCTCTGGCTCGCCCTCCTCCTCAAACGCCAACGCCGCGCCAACATCCTCCCGCCTCCCTGGCTGCTCCCCTCCTCCCTCGATCGCATCCTAAAATACGAGACCGAGACCTCGATCAAGGCTTTCTCACCACCCCCTCCGCACCCATACCCCGTATCCTCCCGCCCCGCGCCTACAGACAGCATATCGCCGCCCTTCCTACCTTCCTCGACAGCAGAATCGCCGCCCGACTACCTACCCTACCACTGGCTGGAGCTAGGCGAGATTCTGCTCGAGGCGTGTTCGGACGACATCTCTGACCCGGATCGGGTTCGGACGCTGCTGAGGGACTTGAGGGAGGTGAGGATGGCGAAGATGAGGGACAGCGTGAAGGTGCTGGAGGGTGGCGGCGTGAACAGTCTGCGGGGCGTGGGCGCCATGGAGGTTGCGGAGGGGAGGGCCTTCATTGTGGGCGTTATGGATGGGCTGAGGAAGCTGGGGGCCAGCAGGGAGGTTTCGAGAAGGGAGAGGGATGATGAGCAACGGAGGGACGGGGAGGGGAGTGAGGATGAGGATATGGGGTTTGAATGAGTAGACTAGGGCGGGTGTCACGATGATGATGTGTATGTATGGGCGATACGAAGGAAGGTCTTTGGCGTTTGGGAGGGGCGTATGGGTAGAAAGAAGGTATACCATTTGACGAGCTTCAATCACACTTTAACTTCTCACACCAAGATCTGGATTTTTCCTTACCAAGCACGCATTCCAGGTTGATATTAGCCCTGCTGTCAACCACGCTCTTGTTATTTATCTAACGCCTGCTGCTGTCACCTAGCGACCTTATAAAACATGAAGAAAAGGTGAAGATGCCCATTGTTGGTCGCTAAAAGCTTAAGTATCGATTGGCTTGGAGGTTGTCATCAGGCTTCTTTATACGACGGCACTTAGCGTCGGGGTGCATTAGTGCACGTTTATCTCAAGGCTCGTGAGGATCTTCTGACACGTATTTCAATTCTGAAGTAATAGTAGATGCATCCGGATTATCGCTGTCGACTGTACTTCTATTGTCATTTATGATCTCCTACAGTACTCACTCTAGATTACAATTACCAGCATAGCTATCTCACACCACCTGTCCTATGGACTACAGAACAGATCTCGAGGCTCTAATATTCATCTGCGAACTCCTTTGGAAACACACACATACGTATATATAAGTGTATATATATACATCCGAGATAAAAGATAGGGAGCCCCTCTGCATGTGACCTTTCGTATCGTATACATATCGTCCCCTTGATACTCCTGATTTATATCTTCTTTTATATTGAGAATTCAGATTGCTAATGAAATAGTGAAATGGGGTTGTCACAGGTCATATACTCAATTGCCAATTAAGCTAAGCGACGTCAGTGATCTATCTACCCTATTACAATCCAATCCCTTTTCTCTTCGCTCCTAGCCTTTAAAGCTCTGGAACGCGGTATGTCTGATCTATACAATTATACATATATATATATATACATACATCTGTTGTGTGAAGGCGCTAATATTTAAATCCGCCAAAAAATTTCCCACTTCGAAAAATCAAAGACGTCGTACTCCTCGATCTCTTCTTCTTCTTCGGGGTTGATTCTTTATCACGACCCTCTCACTTTCTACCACCGCACCAATCTAGCTCATCGGCACTTTCGGTCGTGCCTCTGATAGTAGTACCGAGTCTGCTGCGCTTTATTTGCTTAAAGAATTAAGAATTAACTCTGCTGGCTGCTTATTTTTATGCGTCAACTCTCGTGAGCGCTTGTATCTATTTCTGGGTATCTAGCGAATCCGTAAAAAGTAATATTTTCATCGTATCTTTATCGCCGCAGCGGCTTTTGGGCGCTAGCTTTGAAATTTACTCATGGGTTAATTGGTAACCCTCCCGTTGTTCATGCTCGTACGCTATCGGTCGTCGTCAGGTGTTGCTGCTAGTATGGCAAAACATATCAGGCTAAGCGAGGATTTTTCCAGAGAAGTATTGGAACATGGTGTCTAGATAATCGCCAATCCAAATCGATATACAAAGTCCACAAGACAAATTATTAGCAGAGCTGGATTATTCGAAGGTCATAAGCTGCAGGTGTTATGCGAGCTCAGGGCCTGAAGGAATAGGAGCGAGACACAATGTCCCAGAGACAACGCCTATTTTTATCTATCCCGTCCAACATCTTATCCAAAACCCTAAACCCAAAATAACACGATAGAATTTTTGAGTGTATAGAAGACGTTCCAGATGCTGGTGGGCATGTCCTATGACAACTTCCGTCACTTCATTGCTGCAACTCGTTGCGTCGGAGCAGCAGACGTACCTCCCTGATAGATCTTCGGCACTTATGAATGCTCGGTTTTAGGTTGCCAGAATTGAGCTCCTTTATTCCAATAGGCTGCTCGTTTCTTCGGGTACCGCTTCCTCTACTCGTTTGCTTCCGTCGGGTGGGAACGCGGCGAAGAGAAGCACGATGAACGCGACTGACGCAACGGCCTACCGGCAATCAGAAGTTTTTCGTGGTCAAGCCCCCATTTAACTTACAGCATTACACGTAAACACAAGGTTGATCTTTCCAGCCTCCGCGAAAGCGGCAAAGATGAATCCAAAGATGGTCGCTTGGAGAGAGAGAGAGAGCCCTGGTTAGCGGAAATTCTCTCCGCTCATGTCATCGCGATACTTACTCGTTGTTAGTCTTGCAACCATTTCCACTAGGGTGATAGCACTCAGTGCGTCGGTCCGTTCTGATGGGGAGCACATTTGGATGATCACTCCTTTCGCACTAGATCCCGTCCCAGACGCCAATGGTAGCAAGACGGCCACGACGTACAACTGCCACCCTTCAGTCACGAACGTCGCGCATCCCGTAAGTAAAGAATCAGCGAGTATGCTCCATCGGCTGTACTGCAAATCAAAGTCAAACGTCTCGCCTCCATTCTCCAAATGCGGCATCGGCATAGGCTCTTCATCCCGTTCTCCTACTTCAGCTGTAGCGGCGAAGTCGCTTGGCTCAGTCGGTAAATTTGTATCTGATTCCGGAGAGGGCTCGCAGTCTTTCACGTGCTTGGGGTTGGAGTATCTGGCTCTGCCGTATGAGATGATGACCGGAAACACGAAGGTGAGAAAGATGCCACGAATAAATGAGTTGAGCGAAATGAGATATCCGTTCTCAGTCGCGCCAAATGCGTATACATCAGTAGCATACATCTGGAGTAACACTGGGATGAATCCTGTCGCCAAGACACCCAGGAATACTCCAAAGCCGAGGAGAATTGTGCCGTATTCCATTCTCACTTGACCATTCTGCATCATCCATTTCCTCGGAGTAAAGATCTTGAGGGGGCCAAAGAACCGGGAGAGCTTGGTTTTCTGGACTTTCAAAGCAGTCTTGTCTGGTGCGATCCAGGGGAGGAACAGGGCCACGTAGATTGAGGAGCTGGTAAATAGAGCGAGGGTGACCCGGAATGGAGCGATCAAGCCGAACACATCGGTAATCAATCCACCTAGAAAGTAAGCAAGCGACATACCTAAAAATGCGCATCCTTGAAGTTTTCCCAAAGCTCCCGTCCGTTCGCTCGGCTCGAGGATCTCGGCCACATATGAATTAAGAGCCAAGAGGTATCCGGCTGGACCGCCGACGATACAGATAATTTGAGAACATTGTATGATCAACATTCCAGTTGCTCCCCCATGCATAACCCCGATATTCTGGATGAGCAGGCGCACTGCAGGCCAGAAAACGGAGTTCAACAAAGCGGACTTGGCGCCTAGTTTCTTGATAGCCCATCCCGTGATGAATAAATTCGCCATGCCGAAGAATGTTGTTGACGCACCGAGGATACTGTAGGCGCGAGCTGTACCAGCTTCAATCATTCGGTTCTCGCAGCGGTCTCCGTGAGCTGGCTCCGGATGGGTTGTATAGTAAGCGTCACATGTCATGAGACGGAAGACATATAGCAGCCTTTAACTAAAAATGAGCATTTTGAAAAGTTTTCTCTTAAGATGGGGGTCCAGGTTGACCTACGGAACTTGCGTGACGCCAAAAGACAAAGAAACAACGAATCCGCAAAGCAAGGCTCTGTACAATACAGATTTTCCATATTTGACTGCCTTCGATGAATGGCATTGTATAAGAGGCGTGTTCTCATTAGCCTTCACGGAATTGGGATCCTGCAATGCCATGTTGGTTGACGGGAGGAAGTCAGAGAATTTAACATTTTCGCGCGAGGGCTGCTTTGTTATCGGTAAGAATTTGAAGAGTGGGGTTTGGATCGTCGGCCCTGAAGTTGACGGTCACGTGGGGATAAATATGGGATTCTCCAGAGGGTGCAAGATCAAGTGTGTAAAGAAGATGTATCTTTTCGCAAGGAAGACGTAGGCTTATTGGTACAAAGTAGCGTGAAGCTGGTTAAATATTATAGGCCATACGTAACAGACCTGTCGTCTTCATGTCATATTCTGACAGCGTTAATGCATCAAGCCTCCAACAAACGAATCTTGGAATTGTAGAATCCATCCCGTGGAGAAAGCGTGTGGCGGCTTGCGATTTGCTGCAATCTTTGGGGCAGCCGGGAGGAGAGGCTTGTTCTCAGAGAAGTGCTTCCGGGAAAGGGGTCGCCTTTACTTAAGTTAATTGAAGCAAGAACAGGTCATGTTTGAGATACATACTAAAGCCAAAAACCGAAGACTATTTGGTTAAGTCCAGTTATTTATGTTAAAGGAATATTATTTGGATATTTGTAGTTGTTCTCAAGTGAATTGGAGTGATGACAGATCGAGCTGAAATGTTAAGCGAGCCCCTGAAATCCAAAGAGCTGTAGTGAGCGCAGTCTAGCTGGCTGGAACTGGGTCTCTATGAGGATATGTTCTGGAATTTGGCAAACTGTATCCTGCTAGAAATGCTCTTTGGGCTTTGACTGTGGTGGAATCTGGTCTGGAACAGTTAGTACTGGCGCAAGCTTGTAGCTAGGAAATCGCAATTATGGCTAATTAGCCATACAACGACCGCCTCTCCTGTAACAGATTGAGGCCGCAGAAGCAACGATCCTTCCTCATCTATAAGCCATATGGCTTCATGATAGAAGGACTAAGTATCTGTAAGTAGTACATAGTGTTTTGAGCTAGCATTGCCGACTCTCCATTTTTCCAGTCCCAGGGATCGGACTAGCTGCCACGGTGAAAGGTCTTAAGTCCAACAAAGAAAAATCGCAAATGAGGAGGAAGACGTAGTAAGAGTTTCTCCTAGCCTAGAGAGCTAAAATCCGACACTCTGGGCTTGGAAAGTACAAAGGGTACATTCATGATGTGGCTATAAGAAAGCTGAACGATCCGGTTGTCGAGGTAAGCCTTTGCACGCAATCATATCGCTGATTTTACCGACATCGGACCAGATAAGTAAGGTTTCGGTAATTCTTACCATATAATATATATTCTCTCAGTCGGCTTCCAGACTTACATTTCTATGAAAGAGTTTAGCGGGCCCCTAAAGATGTGAGGTCAACTTCCACTATTAGCACTTCAATCGAAATTTAGATGTATATACCTACCAGCCAGGACCATGCAAGGGACATCCTAACACGCACCTGTCCGCGGTTCTGGCCTCATTTTCTCTTACATCTGTCTTAATCTTTAAATTCTATCGAAAGCTGCAGTGGGCTTGCGCATACATATTTGACATAAGAAAGGACAAGAAAAAAGTGAGGATGTTTGGTTGGTTGTTTACCGGCCCACCCACCGGGAACGTGCTGGTAGCCGGGAACCCTGATAACTCCGCACAACTTCGTATACGGAGTGAGATTGGCAGAAGCAATAGCGATCCGCAGCCATACGATAGGTCCGCCAGAATTCACAGCGGGGCGCCTCTATCACTGTCAGCGGATGATTTATTCTCGATAGATTCGCGGTTGAACCTCTTGCAAACAGAATAAACCAGCTACCTCAACCTCAACCTCAACCCCGTCGTACCCACCGTGGAGCAGGAAACAGCGTTCTCAGCAAATCGCCTGCTCTGGAGCCTTTCCCCCCCCCCAGAAATTAACGACAGGCAACTGCTTCAAGAATCTGCCAAAATGGAGATATTCATCCGAGACGTCCCTGGGCAAGTTACCGAGAATGGGATGAGGAGGCAGCTCCAGCCTTACATTGACAAGCTCTCGATCAAGACCTACCATTGTCGAAAGCAGATTCAAAAAAGATTTGCTACAGTGACTTTCTTGCATGTGCAGGAGGGACAAAGCTTTCTTAAGGCATACGGCGGCCAGTTCAAGGCGCCAAACTTCTCGGGCGAGCAGCAACAACTCAGGATACTCGGTACTCCAGTCTATTGCACTATCAGCGCGAAAAAAGTTAATCAGCTGTTGTTGAAAAGCTTGGCTAAGGAAGAGAAAGATCGGTTGACCCTAGATGAGAAGCCAGCTACGAAAGCGAGGACTATCTCGGGGACGACAAGATCGTTCTCTTTCTCGTCCGTATCGGTAAGCCTAATTTCTAACAAGCACGCCCCTGTCTCCGAAATATAATAATTTTTTACCCTTCTATCACGTAGAACTTGCTGACAAGCAAACAGTGCGGTGTCTGGGGCTACGAAGGATCGAAGCTTTGCTTCATTCCATATTTCAGTCACAACCACCATGGCGAGGGGGTCGCAAAATTTGGGACCCGAAGTGTTGTCCTCACCCTTGAATCTGGTGAGCGGCTCGACTTCTTGTACGCAAGCACAAAGAGCATTACGACGGAGAATGTGCCCAAGCCTTCAATCACCTTTACTCTCTGGGAGGCACCGAGGATTTATCAGTCAACTTCAAATGACCCCATACCACAACTTGTCGCAAAAATGGGGCAAATGAGCTTCGGTGCACCGAAGAGTAACCAAAGATCCAGAGTCTCGGCTCTTGGAAAGGCGCACGTTCAGACTGTGATCAGCTGTTTCGTATACCGAATTGCACTTACTGCAGAGCCCGAAGAACTCCGGAAGCCTCTCCTGAATTTACAGAGAGCGCCTGGCATACCTCCTATCATCCACCAGCAAGTGGAAGTCCATCCTCCCGAAACGTCTTTCTCTGTTCAGCTGAAGAGGCTAGATGAAATTCTTAGCGACACTCGAAATATCCCGTGGATCCTGGCTTTTCAACTTCGAGGGCTCGTCATGAACGGAGTCTTGACCCCAGAACAAACAAGACAGCTTATACCTGAAGTACTGGCGATAATGAGGCGAAACGGTGTCACCATTGCAGTCGCAGCTGTTCGAAAACTCGGCACCCAAATCCCGTTTCCCGGTTTGGAGACGCAGGCTTATCAATTCGACACTGCAAGATTCCAGATGCAATTGCAGTTCAACGCAGATCGGGCGAAGAAGGAAGAGCTGAAGGCTCTCGTCGATGGAAGTATCTCGAAATCGGAAAACCATGCCATGATCCACCGCGTGACGATAACTCCATCGGGTTTCTATCTCGGAGGCCCGGAATACGAACCCATGAATCGAGTGCTAAGACAGTACCCAAAGCATCACGATTCTTTCATCCGAGTAAGCTTCGCGGATGAGGATGGCGAGCCTATCAGGTTCAATCCAAAAGTCTCCAACGAGAAAATTTTCCAAGACAGGTTTGGAACGTTCCTGTCAACCGGGTTCCACGTTGCAGGTCGCAAATTCGATTTCCTTGGATTCTCTCACTCCTCTTTGAGAGCGCAGTCTTGCTGGTTTATGTCGCCATTTGCTCACAACGGCAGTCTCATGTACGATCGCGTACTTATTCAACAGCTCGGCGACTTTACGAAGATTCGATGCCCGGCAAAGTGCGCCGCGCGAATCGGCCAGGCCTTTTCCGAAACCCCAATCGCCGTCCCCTTAGAGCCTGGTCTGGTTCAGCTACTGCCGGACGTCGAGCGCGGATCCAGAGTCTTTAGCGATGGATGTGGTAAAATCTCGCGATCGATCATGCACAGGATCTGGGCCGTACTTCCGGACATGAGAAAACACCAGCCAACATGCTTTCAAATTCGATACCAAGGTAAGGCTTGCTGCCGTTGAAAGGCGCATCAATTTCGATGAATGCTGATTGCCCGAGTTTTGAATTCGAAGTTCCTGCTAACACGATTTAGGTGCTAAGGGTATGCTATCGCTAGATGACACGCTCGAAGGAGATCAGGTTCTCATGCGTCCATCAATGATCAAGTTCGACGGGTCCCCCTCCTTTGACCTAGAACTCTGCAATGCATCATATAAGTCTTTGCCCATGTACCTGAATCGCCAACTTATCAAGATCATGGAGGACATAGGCGTTCCCGACCAATGGTTCCTAGATCTCCAATCACAGGAAATCGAGCGTCTCCGAAAGGCAACCACCAGCGCGTCAAATGCCGCGAAATTCTTGAGCTCGCACTCCATCGGAGACCGAGTCCATCTATCATGGCTGATTCGCAAGCTAGCTCAGATGAGCATCGAGTTCCGCACTGATCGATTCCTGTGCGATGTCCTCGAGTTATCCGTCATGCTAGAAGTCAAAACCTTGAAGCATCGCGCACGATACCCCGTGCCGGAGGGACTGACGCTATACGGCATCATGGACGAGACCGGGATCCTGGAGGAAGGTGAAATCTACTGTACCTACCAGAGCCAGAAAGGGAAAAGAATGGTAGTCATCCAGGACAGAGTCCTGGTCACTCGCTCTCCTGCTCTTCATCCCGGGGACGTGCAGCCTGTAAAAGCCGTCAACGTTCCGCGCGATTCTCCCCTCTCGAAACTCCGTAACTGCATCTGCTTCAGCCAGAAAGGCGACCGTGATCTCCCCAGCATGCTAAGTGGTGGAGACTTGGATGGCGATCTGTACAACATCATTTGGGATCCTGGATGCCAGATTCGTTTCAAGAGCTTTCCGGCTGATTATCCCAGGCAGGATCCCATTGACATTGGGAGACAGGTTTCGAGAGAAGACATGACTAAATTCTTTGTACAGTTTATGGAGACGGATCAGTTGGGAAGGATCGCGATGAGTCACCAGATTCTGGCGGATCAAAAAGATATGGGCACGTTTGATGAGGACTGCAGGATACTTGCGGAGATGCATTCTACTGCTGTCGACTTTTCCAAGACTGGGGTTCCGGTAAGCCAAATCTTCTAGATCAGATCTCGTTGCCACTGCTGATATATGCAATCCAGGTCGATATGAAGAAGATGCCTAAGTTTACACCTATCCGACCGGACTTCATGTCGATGGGAAACCACGTCCGGATGGAGAAGAAAGAAGGGCTGCTACTCGAGGCCACTACTCTCTCAACCCAAGATGACAACAACGACGACGACGACTTCCCTGCCTACCGATACTACGAAAGCGACAGGATTCTCGGAAAGCTCTACCGCGCAATCGACGAGCACGAGGTCTTTAGCGAGATCAAGAAATACCGCATGCTATCAAGAAAGACGCCCTCCGTGCTCGACAGGGTATGGGTCCACGTCCACAAGAAGTGCTGGAATCTGCAATGGGCGCAGCACGTACTCTGGGCGCAGGAGATCCGCGAGATGTAAGTATCACCACTGACATTCACATCGATCGAATCCCCCATCCTCTCTCTGTTTCTGCGCTGGACGCCAGGCTAAGAAAGGCCCACCCGCAGGTACGAAGACAACCTCCGCAACATAATGTCAAGCTACAGCGAGCACCCGTCCCGGCCCATCTCGGAACTCGAGGCCTTCATCGGCAACATCCTGAGCGTCACTGGCACCCAGTCCAAGAAACAGCGCGACCTGTCCGTTACCATGAAAGAGGCGTTCGATCGCGACGCTGGGTTCGTCGTGGACTGCATCATCTACGACGAGGAAGGGGAGTATGCTGAGAATGCACTGGAGAAGAGCATGGCGTGTCTGTCGGTATGTTTGGGTCAGGGGAGCGCGTTTGTACGTGCTGGGCGAGACAGTGAGGTGCTGGTTAGCTTTGGGTATCTTGCTGCCGCTGTTTGTTTGAGGGAGATGGAGTGCTATTTTACGTGAGGGGGAGCGAGCGAGGCCTTGATGATTTATGATGAAATATGACGGTGATTCTGAGGGGTTGGAAAAGATATCCGGAGTTTATTTATATCATGGGAATCTGATATTGGGTGATTGGAAGGGCTAGGATATGGATGGATGGGTGGATGGATACCTATGTGTTTGGGTTTGCTCGAGTCACTTCTCAACTATTATCGGATACAGCAGTGGAGAATACAAATCTGCGCTGAAACGAATTCCAACTTCCCAGGCCTTTGCAAGATCTCATGAACAACTGCCACGCAGAGCTCTCACCCGGTCAATCAATGGTCGATTCTCTTCCTTTGCAAGTCCCAGCTGCTTCATATTTATCCAGTGAGGTTTGGTATTTTCGCTTACGACCACCGCTGACTATTATCTAGATCTTCCACTTTTAAAACTATGCTCAAAGACCCGTGTTTACCAATCGTCTGAGAAACCTCCTGTTATCGCATAGTGGTTTATTATTCCTAGCCACGCTACAAAACACGCCTTTTCTTGTAGGATTCTGCTCTCTATTTACACCCCTCGCCATCATTGGCATCGCATCCTAACAAGAGTCTCCAAGGGCGCAACCAAGAAAATCAGTACTTGCAGACATTTACAGACGACAAACCGAAGCCGCGTACCTATCCTATTCTAGCAGTACATCCAATCCCGACTTCTCGTCTCCACCCTCAAGCGCCGCAATCTCCCTCCGCAAGACATCCGCCTTGAAAGCCTTGAAGGCCTTCTCAATCCTCGCTTTGCTCTCCGGATCGCTGCCGATCGTCCTTTTTGCCGAGAACGATCCAGTCAGCAAGCCCAACTCACCACCCAAGAACAGGCCCCCAGCCGAGAAGAAAGTGTACGCCGCGATGTCGCCGAGAGTGCTTGGCTTTAACATCGGGGTGATATCCGGCAGCGGCTCTATTCGCGTCATCAACACCATGGTTCCCAAATCTCCAAAAGAAAAAGAGAAGCAATGGGAAAAAATAAGGGGAAAAAAAGAGCAGCATTCCCACATACCCGTTCGACCGTTCGCAAACTGCACGTGTGTAGGCCGCTCAACCGCCCGAAACGCCTTGAACATCTCCCCCCTCGCTCGCCGAACCCTGAACGCCAGGACGGCCCCCAGGCCCAGGCCCAGCAGCGAGCCGACGGTGGCGAAGGTTCCGAACTTCTGCGCGGCGCTTTGCAGGGCGTCGCGGTCTGACTGCCGGAGGTCATGCTTCATGTGTTCTTCGGCTAGTTGAGCGAGCTCTTTGCTGGCGTTCTTGCGGGAAATGGCGAGGGACTCGAGAGACATTTTGGATTAGAATTCCCTTTTCTTTTCTTCTTTTGAGAGGAGCTTGAATTGGGTGGATTGGAAGAGATGGAAGGGTTTGAGAGAAGATGGAAAATGTTTGTTGTGAGCGCAGGGGAAGGATCGGAAATCAGGCCATGACATCATATGGTGGATATTTGATCACGTGTTGATATAAAGAAATCGCAGACGTTCGTTCAGGGCTTTTATTTCTGGATTTGCTGTTGAAGGAAGATTCCAATTTCTTGTGTCAGAGACTCCTATCTATCTGTTTGATGTCGTGGCTGAATAGTTTTGTTGCGCTCTTTGATATTCGCTTTCAATTTTCTTGACCGGATGATGCATCATCCAAGGGAATCTAGCCTTCCGATAGTCTATAAAACATGCTATGCTTTTTCATTTACATTATGAGCATCCTCTACGTCTGTTACGCTCAGCTCTGTTTGGTTTGAGATATCTACATACCAACCAAAAGTCGATGCAGCTTTGTGTGCTATAAACAGCTGGCAGCAGTTCCCATTAAAGCAAAGCCTCCAGCAGCTGCCAGCTAGGCTGGAAACTATATCTAGTAGCTTTATATATGCTTATTTTCGGATTAAGCAGCCATCAATCAATATCGCCGGCATTCATCACTTCTGAATTCGCCCCTGAAATGAAAATTGTTTACGCGCCAGGGGCCTAAGCGAGAAATTTTTAAGGTTCGTTCTTGATCATAAAGTCCAGATCAACCAAAATCGCGTCATTATTTATGGGTATGGTAACAGGGATTGAAAATCTCGGAGGCAGTCGATGCTCGCACGCTATTGATCACCTCTTCTTTTCGAATAATTTCCATTTTATGATTCAAGCCTGACTCTAAGAAGGATGAGAAGTGTCGTCCCTTCACCTCACTTCCCTCTCTCTTCGAAGATTGCGTGATATGAAATTTATTAAATAGTCATTGAACATATGGATTCATTATATGATAAGTGTGTCATCCTAGTAGACAAGATTGACTCTCAAGCCGTCGAGTGTTTATTCAAAACTGCAAGTCAAAACCTCCAAGCTCTCCCATCTCTCCCATTCCTTCCTTCCATCGTAGCTGGCACGGTTAGCTCGAAACCACTTACCCTGATAAGATCAGCACTTACACAAGAAGAAAAAGCATAATTCCTACTCCCACTTCGACTTCTCAAGTCTCTCCCCCAGGGTCAAGCAATTGTTCGAAGTCTCATAAGCCCAAACTTGAAGCTGCGGTGCCTCCTCATACCGCTCACTAGAGCTCGCAAAGTCATCCTCCAGCGGGGCCAGGGCCGCGTGCTCCTGCGGGCGTGACTTCAGTGTGACGTTGTCCTCTGGAGCCCCCACTAGCAACGAATCAAGATCCTCGGGCCTAGTTCCGCCCACGCCCTCGCCAACAGGCGCTTCACAATACCCAGTCGCAGGAGTCGGCTGCTGAACTTCTGGATTTTGTTCAGTAGGTAGCAGTGTCTCGGGAACAGGGGCGTCGGGAAAAGGGGGAAAGGTGTTGCCCGGAGGCTTCGCAAGTCTACACAGGAGGATTATCAGAACGAATATTTGCACAGAATCGGCCGCAGCCGGTGTCATGCATTTCTACTTCTTGAGGTTGGCAGTATACTTCTTCTGGTCAGTGTTCGGTGCCATAGCAGCTGGGTTGGCAAGAGTGAGACAGTGCTGAGCGAGCAGTGCAAATGATGTGACGGCGAATGACGGGCCCAGAACTGGAGTTTTAATGAACATGTTGCTTTTTGGAAGGGCAAATCTCTTTTATTTATGTATTTTGCCAAAGCTTTTGCCGAGTTAGCTCCTCGGCCATCTCGATACCACTGGCAGCAACGAGCGGTGACTTGAAAGCAAGAAAACGCACTCGCATCAGAAGGTCAAAATCATGCAGCCGACGAACCATTTCCCTTCCTTCAAGCAGTTTATAGCAAGCAGGCGGTTGAATCTTGAAGTCATTAGCCCTCTTGTGCTTGGATCGTCTCTGCAGATGAATGCAACACCAATTCTTCATAACTGCAGCTTGCCTTCCTCGGAGGAAGTCCCAATACCGGAGATCTCCTTTTCATTAGTTGGTTCATCGATCCCGCGTTAGCGAGAGTTGACAGCCAGAATGACAACGCTGGTCTTACTTCCCGGTTGGTGATACGCGAGATCGAGAGGTTCTGTCTCAAAGCACAACAGGACCATAAAATAATATCGTGGCGGTCAATATTATCAGAGTCCAATGGCAGCACCCCGATGACAGTACTCAAAGCACATCTTGAATGTTCTGCTAGGACCTACTGTATGTCAGTGGAAGCTTCCGGTCCCAGATCGTACCTTTCTTCAACGTCCTGCACATCTCGCCCTCCTGGGTAAATATGGTGCAACCTAGCGTTGCTCACTGAAGAAGAATTAAAAAGCCAATAGCTAATAGCTCTGACGAATGTCCCCGATTCGACTCACAGCCAATTTGGGGCTTTTCGTTGATTCCCTTATTATCTGCCGCTGCCGTGACTTTTCTTCTGGAACCATCAATTCGATCAGAAGTTCTTTAGGCAGGTATCCGCGCCAACATGACAGCAGACGCTGCATCTTCTTCCACACCGCAAATATCAAGCGCTTGCCCTTTGCTGCATTTTCACCGCAAGATACGTGTTCACTTGAACGAGAATTCATCCGAGTCCATTGCTCGTTCCATTTGAGCATCAGTCGCTCCTTTATGCAGAATTCCGGAAGACGATTCAGCATTCAGTCACAGTAAAGCCGCTTTGGATTCGAGTTTGGCTTGGCTTCTGGTCGTGGCTTTTGCAGCAACTATTTAATATTGCCCTGGCCTTTCTTCAAAAGAAAGGAAGGCGACGCTGAGCATGGCTCGGTGCTCGCTTCCTGGCGAACCAAAAAAATAAAATAAAAATAAATCGGCTGAACGTTTATCCCACAGGATACCTGCAGCCCTATCTCAATCGTAGTAGCATTCGTACGAGAGCCGGGTACTGGAGTCTCTTCGACCCCCACGAGGCAAATGGGTTCAAGGTTAGCCTGTTGGCGAACTGCGACCCCTGGGTGAAGTCCAGGTTCCCGGCTTTCTCCCTATATACCCAACACATTCACTTCTCAGGCTATGTTTCAGCATTGTTGTCTCGCTATCACAAAATAAGTATCGTGCTACCCCATATGCAAAGTAGGTGCGAAGAAAAGGCCAAAGCAACTAGGTAAAAGATCATATTTCTTGAAGCAGAGAGGAATCACATAAAATAAAAGAGCAGAGTGGTACCCGAAGAATTAAACAGACAATCAGAAAAAGAAAAAAAATCTATCATCGCTTCTTCGAAACACATTTAGCGCTGCCCATTACATTCCTCCAGCATCAGAGCTGCCCGCAGTTTCTTGGCTGTGGAGGTCGAGTCGTGGGTGCTTTATGCATGGCGCCGAACCATAGCTCTTCGATCTCAGCATCTGCGCTTGTAACACCTTGCAATATTGCGAGGAACACTCGTTTCTGGTAAGTTAAATTGGCGGCTGTTTGGCCAGTACCCCGACGGTTAACCGCCAGCGTAGGAACACTTTGCTGTCGGGCAAACCGGTCTTACGTCCAAACTCCAACATGGCAGGTGGCCACGGAATCGAGGAAACCATTATATCGCCTCAGCTCGTACGATAATATATCCACAGGATTCATGAGGCATGGTGTCGGGACACCAGGGTCTGGACAGCTCGAGAGCCGGTTTTGTCGATTCTGGTCTGACTCGGCACGCCACCGGTCCGGGAAATGCGCATAGTTAAAGATGGACATATCGGTATCAACGACTGGCACTGTAAACCAGAAAGCATAAATACGGACGTCGATGGGTTGAAGGATGGGTTGATAGGATCGTCGGAGATGCATCCGGTAGACGCTAGGCTCGTTAAGAATCAAAATAAACGCTAGAAAAGTATCATTCTAGTAGTAGATGTTGCGTACCTTTTCAGCGACTTTGTTCCTCCATTACTGGGTGCTGAGCGTTCAAAAGAGAAGCGAGGAAAAAAAAACTGCCAACTGAATAATATCTAACTCCGCGTAGGCTGACATCAACCGGCGAAGGGGGCGGTGGCTCAGCGGCGTGCTTGCTTGCTTGCAAGAGCGGCCGTCCCATTCACCGGTCGATAATTATAATGGTGTATATCCTATTATAATACGACAAATACGGTACGAATCCATTCAATTGGATTTGTAAGCAGGAACCTCATAACATCCCGTTGTTATGGGCTTCCGGCAATGACAGAAATCAAAATGTATATAATGTTGTGTATATCCCATTATAGCACCAAAAAACCCATTAAGTTGAGTTTGTAAGCTGGAACCTTGTAACATCCCGTTGTTACGAGCTTCCAGCTGAGTTTTGCTATTTGAATTTATTTATTTTTTTCTCTCTTAGGCAACCTACTTGATTGATATACGAAGAGCGTCGATATCTCTGCGTTACAGCCATGAGATAATCAAAATATGCAATTAAAAAGTATATGATTCAAACTTTTATCGTATTATCGCGACTTTTCCATCGAGCTAGTTGCACATCTCTACCTTGTATTCTGATATCCGGACTAACCTTCTGGGCAATATCATTTATCAGCATCTTCGAAATCTGTAAGGTTTTCAATTAATTGGTGGTTTGACTTTTATTAATTATTCCTCTCCTTTCTATTCAGTATCTCATTCAGAAGCTTGGCGGCTCATAAAAAAGCGAATCATGAATTTGAATCGTCTGATCGACCGACCTTTATCTGTGCGCTTAAAAACAAGCAAATCTTTACAGATGAATCAGCTACTATCTGATTTTATTTCTTATTCATACGAATTCGAGTTGCGATACGATTATATAGCTATTTCAATTCTGGATTCCTCAAGGAAATGGATGTCTCGCGGTAATTTGGCCGGGGTGCAAAAGCTTAATGGAAAGGAATGGGCACTAGTCCCTCAACTCATGCCTACATGCCCCGAGATACAGGAGAGCCATTCATGCGCGGTCATGGATACAAATATTCACCAATATTCAAGAGACCGCATTTCTTCCCTATGGCTTCTCATTTGACTCGCAGCTGGGAAAGATTTCGTCAAGCAATACAATTCTTGTATCGAGACAAGCTTTGTAGGTGGGTTTTGGCCGGGACTTCAGCCGCCGTTGTCGCAGTAGCCGTTGGGTTAGGATCATGGTTACTGCTGCGTCAACACAACACCCGGTCTATCGTCGACCTGGGCTATTCGATCTACGAAGGTGTGAAACTTGATTCGGGCGTTGATCGCTTTCTGGGAATGCGATATGCTGCCTCGCCAGTTGGGGATCTAAGATTCAGAGCGCCCGTCAAAGCTCAGAATACGACCGGGATGCAGGCTGCAACAGCGGTAAGTCTTCCGATGCCTCACAGGATAATTGACTGATTGGTCAATAGTTCGGGCCTCTGTGCCTCAGCACTGGCGTCTATTACCCAATGCTCTCTGACAAGGGAGAGGCAATAGAGTCCGAGGATTGCCTTTTCATCAATGTCTGGAAGCCGGCATCTGCTACATCGGATTCAAAGTTGCCCGTTTGGGTCTACATTCAAGGCGGAGGCTATGCTGGCCTGTCTAATGCCAACTATGAGGGGTCCACAGTCGTGGCTGCTTCAGGGCATAACATAGTCGTCGTCAACTTCAACTATCGAGCTTCCGTTTGGGGATTCCTGGCGAGTGAGAAAGTAAGAGCTGATGGAGACTTGAATGTTGGTCTCCTAGATCAGAGGAGAGCATTGGAATGGGTCCAGGAGAATATTCATCACGTGAGATATTTCACGATAATCCAAGTCAATAGCTAACCGACAGCAGTTTGGTGGCGACCCTAAACATGTTGTGGCTCATGGAGTATCTGCTGGGGCTGGGTCACTGGCATTTCATCTCACGGCTTAGTAAAAGCTACACCCATGAGACGTGAAGACGATATCTGACATGTCACAGTGGCGGCCGAAACGACGATCTGTTCGTTGGTGCAATCTTTGAATCCCCATTCGTCCCAACCAACCCCAAAGTTCTGGAACTCGAATGGCAATTCGATCGTTATGTTAATGCGACAGGCTGCGCTGAGGCCTCGGACCAGATGGCATGCATGAGATCCAAAAGTACAGCGACATTACAGGCCGCGAATAGAGGGTACCCGTACCCCGGGCGGATAACCGCGCCGCGATTCTACTGGACCCCAACTATCGATGGAGAATTCATTCAGGATTTTCTATCTAACATGATCGAGTCGGGAAAGTTCTCTAAAGTTCCGGCCATGGTTGGCGGTATGATAGCCTTTGTTCACTCTCGCTTCATGGCTGACACGCTTTAGACGACACCAACGAAGGCTCTAGCTTCGCGACTAATGCCACAAGCCCAGGAGCCGTGGCAGCCTTTTTTCAAGACAACTATCCCAAGCTCAATGATACCGATACCGCAGCCATTAATGCCCAATACCCACTGATGCCACCGCTACCCCGGCGCGCCGCCTACTACCCCTCCTTATCCGCTGCTTACGGGGAAGCAGCATTCACCTGCCCCGGAAACCATCTCTCCGGCTCTTTCAGCGCGTATACCTCCCCCACGAATGTGTGGAACTACCGGTACAATGTTTTACAGGAAGACAATGTCGCTGTCGGCCTCGGCGTACCGCATACCTTCGAATCTCCAGCTATATGGGGAGTCGGCAGCACCGGCTCTAACGATCTACTCAGCAGCTATACGACGTACAACAAGGACATCGTGCCTGTGGTTATGCATTACTGGATCAGTTTCGTGAGGTCGCTAGATCCAAACATGTTTCGCTATGAAGGCGCGCCGGAGTGGGGTAGTTGGGGAAATGGGAGCGGGCAGAGGCTCGTGTTGGAGACTAAAAATACAAGGATGGAGGACCTACCCGAGGATCAGGTGAGGAGGTGTGAGTTCTGGAGGGGATTGGCAGACACGCTGGAGCACTAACGCCATGGAGCATCACTGCTGGATCAAAGGACTACATATCAGTACGGAATCTAATTCCCTGCATAAATTTTGGTGGCTTCAAGAGCACCATCAACAACAGGATACTGTTTGAAAGGTGGTGTCTCCCTCGTGGTACATCTTCCGTCCGTGATTAGATGATTAGATGATTAGATAGGCAATGCTAGGTTCAGCTGCCTTTGGATATGGTTTGCTGAGCTCGTAAGAAAGTCAGGACCAGCTACAACCTCCAAGAAAAAAAAAAGGCAGCGGAGGATTTTCTCAAATCATACGTATTTGTAAGGTATACAAGAGCGAGGATAAATATCAACTAGTAGGAATGGCAGTTATCCTTTCCGCAGGCATCACCTCAGATACGTAGTACTAATACGAGGACCGGATCTTAGCAAATTGCTTTACCAAATGTAAAATCTAAACCCCGCAAAGTTTCTCGAGACAAAATCTATGCTAAACCTTTCAATCAAAACATTTTCTTTAAAAAATAAGAGATTACGTAGGAACGCGTGGGCTTGAACAAGACTAAGTAAAGAAGATCAAAAACATTCAGTGTTTTTGATTAACGTCGTGCGGTATAAGTTTATCAAGTAAGTTGACGTAGATGGCAAGCAGCTTACGTAACATCAAAGCGAGCTTGGGAGTGCACCTACCAAGGTATATACGCGCAATTGAGAGTTCACAGGATTTGAAGAGGCGTGTTTATTTGAATGATTTGAAGTTCGAAATAATAGTATATCTCTAGTCTTCAATTGTCAATACCGGTATTTCAATTACGTTGTCTGCCATTTTAGGATTCTGCCTCCCGTCACCACGCGCACTTTTTAACTGACCAATCAATTCCATTCGCTAAAAAAGGTTATTTGCATTTTTTCATGAGGCCTATGATGGCCTGAGGCTGCCAGGCCTGTTAGGGGCACGTGCACGCTAAGGGGGTACATAGATTTCTCCCACCAAAGAGAATTTAGAAATATCATCCTCTCCACACAACATCCCCCCCCCACCCTGAAGTGGTGACCTACGCAGGGATCGAACTTGCAATCTCTTGATTCGCAGTTAAAGAGATAAACAACAAACACCAAAAATACCATCACCAGAAACACAAACTTCACCTTCAACAACCTCTTCCTAAGAATTCAGCAACAAAACCTCCATTCCACCACTACTACTACCAAAACTACAAGAAGACCCACAAAAACGACCCACAAAATCAAATAAATGCATAAAGAAGGAACGACAGAACACCACCCCAACTCACCTTCTCCGACAGACTCAGAAAAGAGATACGAGGAGAACTTGCACCACCTTCAGCCTTCACCTTCAATACCTTTAACACCAAACGGGCGCTCACTTTCGACGGCCTCAATCCTTTCCAACTCAGAGCAATACTCATAGCACAAACTGATAACTGAACTTCCTTCGAGAACATACCCATGGATAGCGAGGTCAATTACCTCACCATCCCAACTGTCAGAAACGGAGGATTGGGGGAACGCTATCTTGGAACACATCGCGAAGCACGAGATCATCAACGAAAACGTCCAAGAGAGTCCCAAAAGAAAGGAGCCATTCTCTCAAAAGGTCCGGAGCTTGCTACCAGGATCTCTCGTGATGCTATACGACCAGAGAGCAGCTGGACAGAAACTCCGACCATCCTGGAGAGGCCCTTTCAAAGTATCAGGCCTAAGAGGTGAACATAGGAGATCTTACACCTTAAAGCAGATCAACAAAAAACCGATACCACGACACTTCCATATAGACCAACTCAAGCCATTCTACTTGCGGACCTCTTATTTGATAACAAGGGAGGAAGAGAGACTGCCGACGTACTAGAATCTGAGGGCTGGAACTTCAGAACACTCACTGCCATCGGAGCTCAGGAAGAAGAGGAAAGAGAAAGAGATGTTGATTGAGACGATCGCAGGACATTGAGAGGAGTGAGGAGATGAAAGGAAGATGAGGTTTAGAGATTTTGGTAGGAGTTATCAAGGAATATTGATATTGGCGCAAAGGAAACTAGGAAGCAAATGAGAGAGGGAACTATAAGAGTTAGGCAACGATACCTTAGCGGAGTTTGGAATTCCTTTAAGAGGAGTAATGAGCATTGAGCGCTTAGTTAGGAAGGAAGGTTCTCGGGGCGAGAACCTCGTGGGATAGGGTCATGTGATGGCCTAAGGCTGCCAGGCCTGTTAAGGGCACGTGCACGCTAAGGGGGTACATAGATTTCTCCCACTAAAGAGAACTTAGAAATATCATCCTCTCCACACAACACGGTCCCCCCCCCCACCCTGAAGTAGGCCACATTCCCCCTTATAGAGGAAGGAGCTCTCCGGTAATACCGGTACAAGGCTTCGCAAGCTCGCTTTGATAATACTAGAAACTGCAGTGTACATTGCAAGTCTGCTTTTGCACAACAGTTAAAAAGCTATATTCGCTCCGCTTGCTCGGTTGATCGATCGTTAATCGTCGGTTTCCTTAAATTTTAATTCGAAAGAATTGACCGACTGCGCCAGGTCGGGATTTTTTACAAATTAAATTCAAGGTAACCGACGATTACTGTAGCTGTTAGCTAAGCAAGTTTTGTACGTAGTACATGCAATGTAAAGTTTTCTTAGCCGGAAACTCGATGCTACCCCGCTACTGTATCGTCAGCTACGTACGAGGATGCATCTCGATCTGGTGATTACTTCGCTTAGTTAAGCGGCATCGCGGATCAAAAATCTAAATAATGCGAAGATACTACGGAGCGGCATAATCTTTACGTTAGCCAAATGGTTATCGGGCAAACAATGCCGTGCAAGAGTAACCGCTAGTAGTATATGGTAATATGAAGCAGTCGGTAAAGCGCCTTGACCGGCCTGCTCTAGGGGTGTGTCGTGCGGTATAAGGTTATAATACTACAGTAGTGCCACCCTTGCAGAAAACAAAGAGGAAACTTATAGGCTGTGGCTCCGTACGGACGGGGGTGCTGGAAGTACTCTGCAAAGTAGATGACCGCCTTCGCTAGCAAGGGGGTCGGCCAAGGTGAATTTCGGTGGTGAAATATTCTGCTTTCGATTCTGCTATGTAGAGCAGAGGTGGAGGTGGTGACCTACTTTGCCTCCAGCACCTCCGCGTAGTGTTTCCCGATCGGCTGGTGATGCTATAACCCTTCGTTAGTGTACTAAGCGCAGCAAGTCGTCTAGAACGTCTTTTCTAATGTGTTCATCGACTCTTGAACGCATATCGAACTTGACCGAGCGTAAAATCGGGTTTCTAAACGATTTGAGATGGTGAAAGGTTAGCGTCGTTATACAAAGTTTAAATACGTAATTGTTCATCTCGAGTACGGAGGTACAGCGGTTGAGTGGTTTGGTCCAGGCGAGGTACTACTACCGGTATGTCAGTTATTCACGAAACCTAATAAGGTATTATCAAAACTAGGTATAGCCGCCACTACTATCAAAACAGGTATTACGTATGAAAACCTTGAAAAGACCGAGACTTGTTTGGCCGCAGGTTATCTAGCCAAACCCGATTTTATTTTAAGGTTAATGAAGTGGGCAAAATAGTGATCTTTGGCGCGATCTGAACCTTGGCAGATTATATACAAATCGTAATATATCGCCTTTTTTAACAAAAGGCTGAGCTACGGATAGTTACACAACTCCTTGAGAGTATGCAAAGATATGCGCGATTGCTCTTGATTAAGGTATTCGTTTTCGTTAGCTAAAAGCTGATCTGTTTTGTAACTATCTTTCCAAGGGGAAGTTCGTTTAGGAGTCTTGTTGCACGGTTTAGTATAGTGAGCTTCTACTTATTTAGCGGCGATCACTGCTAGCAATTTTTCGTATAAGAAGTCTTGATAAGATCAAAATTCAGCGTCTCCGTCTTGTTCTTGCTATTGCAACGACATGTTTAATAGATTTTGCGAATCTATAAGGTTGAGCGAAAATCATGGTTCAATATAATTAAATCAGTTTTGAGCGAGGTTTGGTTATCGGCAATAGGTTATCGCTGTTAATTAGCGTGATTACCTCGAACGGGTACCGGTAGTGTGAATTCAGGTTTGAAGCGAGTTTCTCAAAACCTCTTGTTCTGTATAAGGTAGCGAAAAAGTATTGGAATACCAAGGTATGTAACGATATTTGCGATAAAATTGTGGGGACTTGACCAAACGTAGTTTTTACCGAAAACCTCCTGGCCACTACCAGTATTCACCATACCTGGCCTGGACCAGACCACTCTTAGTTGGGCAATATCGAAATGAGGTTCTTCGAGATTCCCGTTACTGCCCCATTAGGTTAAGGATAATGGCTGTGGGGCGGTAATGGTTACGATACCTAGCGGATGTACCTCCGTACTGTGCCTGGATAGCCAAATGATACGATTTTATTGTATTAAGCCTTGATTTGTATTATAGTTGTTTTTTTGCTTCCTAGCCACATAGACAGGTATATGTAAGAGCCAGTCGTCCACACTTGAGATTCCACATCCACCTTTCCAACATCTCCCTCAATCATCATTCGCATCTCAAAATACGAGAATTTCCCCTCTTAAGCTAGAAATCATTTCAAAGCCATCCAACGCCATCATGAAGACCTGGGTAGTTCTAGCCCTCTTGTTTGCATCAGCATCGTCCGCATCAATGATGAGCGCTAAAGAAAACGGAATTCTCGTCACCCGCCAATCTTGCCCTCCTACGCCTGACGGATGCGCATGTAGTAGGCCTGCTGGATGTCCTCGCTGCAATTGCGTTTGCGACAACTGCGTAAGTTCAGCTGAAGCGACAGATGATGTGACTTCCACTAACTCTGCAACAGTAAGTGTACTGTTCTGGTTTTGCACTTCGGAAGACGCCGGCTCTGGAAGGTGCTTGGAGATATCTGGTTCCTCGGTTCCCTTGCCCGCGCTCGAGTTTGATTTTTGGAGGCATTTTTCACCCGGTTGGGCGTGTTGTTTTCATCCTGTCTCTGCTATGCAAACGCCACGCACCTATAGCTGGCTAGCCACACTAAGATCGTTGTGTCCCGCATCCGCGGCACGATCAGAAAAATGTCACTGGTATGACCTCACAGTCGTGTTGAGGCGATCAACGTTTCCTCGGTCATTTTCGCAGTGAAAAGCAGAACATCTGCCATCTCAGTGGAAGATGTCTTGTGCTGATGAAGAAGGGCTTTGGAGAAGGGTTACTACCGAGGACGAAAAATGAGGGAGTTAAGCTTTAGGGCATTTCTACGTTTGAATGCCATGTGGATTCGGTCGACGGTCCAGCAATTCGGGCAACACAGCACAGCCGACCGCACAGACTTCTTCGAGAAACTTATCCCCTTTTCTTCTCTCACAACTTACGATCTCTTCTCTCTTTATAGACAGACAATTTGGACCTTCATCAAGACCTCGTTCTAATGAAGTGCCCCTTACGAACCTCTAGCTCTTTCGAGAGTCTGGAGAGCCGAGATTGAACCTATCGATAAGTTCTCGTTAGAGAGATTGCAATAAACGATATCCAGTTCGGTTCCGCGGGCAGGAAGCAGTACTCTATCCCAGGCATCCATCACTTCTTCAACCGTGATTTCCTGCGCTTCCTCCTTAGTGTTTGTAGTAATTTCTTGGATCATCGGTTTTCCGAGCTCTTCTTCTCGAGCTGGTACGAGTTTTTTTGTCTTTTTGTGTATCCACCCGACGGCATTCTCGGGCCACTTGAAAATCAGAGTGCTGAGTGCTATTCTAGATTTGGCGCCATAATTTTGATCTAGCTGCTCAGCCCAGTATTCCTTGGAGTGGCGATTAACAAGAGTCATCTCGCTCCCACAGAGCCGGTCCGCATCACGCGAATCTCGGAATGTACCGAAATATAAATGCAAGACAGTCTCGAGCCATGTTGACTTGGGCGGCGAGGCAGAAGGTGTTCGGTCTTAGACCTCAGCGTCTTGTAAAACCGGAGATCCGGGAACAGGGCTTTTCTGCGAGGCACATGCACGACTTTATAGCATCCATTTGCTACTTGAAAGCCGCCTAGAGTCTTCGCTAAGTAGGCGACCGAAAAGATTTCGTTGAGATTTTCGGGAATGTTATTTCTCCGAGGTGCGCCAGGTTCCCGATGAAAACGGGCATCGGCATGCCGCAGTAGGAAGTAATAGACTTTTGTTGCGGAACGGCGAGAGCTGGGCTTTCTTGGAATGCTGATCTTGATGAAAATTCGGGTTGAGGGCTTGGCTGAGTATCAGGGAAAGATCCTCTACTGTTTGCTTCAGCCATTCTGGCTGGTCCGGGTGTCCTGAAAGAAAGTCAGACTTTGCGCCTTTCATGAAAGTGGTAGACATACGCATCATAAATACCCAAACCAGAAGCATCTGGCCCATCATCCTCGCTCTTGAGATCGGCGTTTGAAAGTGCTCGAGACTGTACGGGACATTGGTCATCCTCGTTCTCGCTCTCGCTCTTAATCTCGACAATATCTACTGGAAGTGAAATAAGTTTAGTATAAGCAGGGGTCGATCTTGCGTTCCGGAAGGCTTGTAACTCGGCGTGCATATTTTCACGCAGCTGTTTCTGGAAGGCGGCAAGCTGGGCTTCTATCTTGGCCTGTAGGCCGTCCACAAAAGCGGATTTTTCTACGCTCGAGGAGAGCGGGCCTGATACGCTTCTGCGCCTCTAAGGGACTCGGGTCCAGCCTCGATTCTGTTTCTGATTGTGCTTAGAATCGCTGAGCGCTATACTAGTCCACTTACTCCAATAGAAACAGAGTTAGAAATAATCTCCTGCGAGCAACAGCTCTGACGGCTCTTTTGTCGACGGTAAAATCTCCCATCTGTACAGTCCATCATCCCCAGTTGATATGCGGATCAGAAATATCTTCAAATTCAGCATGAGTTCGTTGCCAAGACCTCTGGCATCCCGCCAGATTTCAAGTAATCGGAGCTTACCCAGAGATGCTGGGGAAGAGACGCCAAGGGCTTGAGTCTTTCAGGCGATCAGTAAAAGCAATTGACTCACAATTGACTCACAATTGACTCACTGGGCCGTCTTCAGAGTCTTCTGGGTCGGGCCATGGACTTTGCTATCCTTCAATGGCGCTTGTCGCCCCGATGAGCTGCCTTTGGTATGCGTGCGCATATCTAGTGATGACCACAAACTCGAATCATAAGAACTGAGCTGCAAAAAGATAGAATGGAAGAGCACTAATTGAGTGTCGAGGCAGCAAGCACTGGTCAAATTCACAAGCGGAAGAGAAAATTTGCCAAACAAGAAGATACGAAAATGTAGAGCGACAAGAATACAATGCATTATAGGGTAAACTGAGTTACTATTGGAGTTGCTTCGCTTTCCAGTGTTGATGTTGTCGCCAGCTGAAGGGATGAGGTTGAAATAAAAGGGGCAGCCGCTCGTCTATTCACCGGCCCCCCGTTCCGCACGGACGAGAACGCGTCTCCCGACTTCATTCTCACATCCGTACCCGCGATTATCATTGGTAATCAACACCGAATGAAACCCACATAGATGCGATGCCTATCTGCGTAGAATGCCGCCACCCGGTCAAGGCGCTCTATACCGACTACTCCGGCGCCGACGATAAGTCCAGTGGCCACGGCGTGCGGCTTACTGTATGCAAGAACTGCGGGCGCTTCTGCGATAAGTACGTCGAGCACGACCACGTTGTCTTGTTCATAGACCTGGTGCTGATAAAACCGCAAGTATGCTCCCCTATTCCTCATATTCCTCATATTCAACAGAGGGAGGGAGAAAGGGGGGGAGAGAGGGAGAGATAGAAGAAGTAGCTAACGAGTGAAGGTATATCGGCATCTACTGCACAACACGCTGATGCGGGAACATGATCAATTTGACGTACATGCCTCCTCTACCAACCAAATATCCAACTCGTAAAGAGAAGCTCGCTAATCCGAAGTCCAGCCATCGATCATCCGGCTAGGTATTCTATTACTGCTCTTCGATGTCTATCTAACGTGGGCCCGCATCGAGAGGCAAACCTCCACCGCGCCCCCCACCGCAGACAACAACTTCCTGCGCCTGGCCGCCCAGCCAATCGTCTTTCAATACGTCTTCTTTCTGGCCCTGTGCGCCCTCTCTTACCTCGCTTTCCACCTCTCCATCCGCTTTCTGACCTCTTCCCCATTTTCTCCCCTCGTTCTCTCGGGCCTCATCCCTCGGTATACGAGGCCCAACAGCGTAAGCACCGCTCTCCTGGTGTCTTCGTCGACGAAACTATTCCCCATATTGATGGTCATTTGGGAATACGATGTTCCTGCTGCGGCGAGGAGTTTGGGGTGGGCGGTGGTTGCGAATAACGTGGAGGCGCTGAAGATATTGCTGGATTGCGGGTATGGTACTGCGGCTATCCTGGCGACGGTGGGCGCGATTAGTCGGTGGATGGTCGGGAGAGGGATTCTGTGGGTGGTAGGTTTGGATGGGGTTGATACGGTGGGGGAGTCGGGGGTTGCAGCTGATGGGAAAGCATTGTGGGCTTTGCTTGAGATGGGAAGGGAATGGGGTGGGAGGCTCGGGTTAGGGTGAATGAAAATATACGTTGGCTGAGTGGCGCACCACATGGATTGCTGTGATATGCCTCACTAGTACCCTTTTCCATTTCGCTTTGTGATATAAACATCCCAACGACTTCCCTCTCGACATGAAAACCCGGAAACAGTTCCCAACATCTATTCCGTATCAATATACACACGGCCACTGGAGCCCGTTCCAAGAACGCCGAATAATACACCCATAACTCTTCTTTCCTCTCCCGTCGACTCATCCGCCACCTACTTTCTCCTCCCAACTCATCTCATCTTCAATGTCCTACGGTATGATTTCTCAGTCCAGACGCCCGCGGTTCGATGAGAGGATGCCATTGCGCCAGGAACGTAATCGCTAGAAGCAACCCACACACATTAGCACCCATCTCCTCCCGCATGGCCAGCAATCCAAGTCGAGCCACTTCTATTCAGTTCCATAGCTGAGAGTCGAGGAAAGGGAGGGAAAGGGAACATACCCCACATGAGATAGCAGCTCGCGAACGAGAGAAGCAGAGAGCTGCGCCAGATTCTGCTAGCTGTTAGCGGTGTTTCCCGCCATCTGTAGAGGCGTTGTTTGCTGCCGAGCAGGGCACTTTTGTGATTTAAGGGAAGTGAGATGGGGGACGTACGTTTGCGTCTCGCCCTTGGGAGAGAGGAACCAGCCTGCGATGCTGGCGAGGATAACTACCACGAGGCCGATGATGATGCTCCAGCTGTTTGTTTTTAGATATGCGGTTAACTAGCTGGAACTCGGAAAGCTGATTTCGGGGTGCTGAGTGGGAAATAGGATGGTGACATACCCGTTCGCCATGGTTGCGATTGTTCGTGGAGCTTTTGTGTAATGGTGCTGGGCTCTTGGATGTCTTGAGGTCGTCGAGAGCTCGGTCGCTTAGTCAGTGGGAAGGTCTTGGTGCTTTCAGGTTTCTTTTTACAACATCGCGTCACAACTACCTTCAACAACACTCACACTCATTCTTCAACTTCAAAACATTTGAATGTCGTCAAGAAATGATTTTTTTGGGATCGATTAAAGCGTCATGAGGCCACAAGGCAAAAACAGGCACACACGCATAACACAGCCTCCTTCGCCACTTCCTTCGCCACTTCCTTCGCCACTTCCTTCGCCACTTCCTTCGCCACTATTTTCGTATTAACTTCGCAACTTTTTTTGCTATTTTTAAGTCTTAATTTTATACTTTAATTTCTCCGCTATTTTACTTATATAAAAGCTAAGTCTTTACCGTTTGATCTAAAGCAAATTCAGCGAAATGGAAACTATTCTTAACCTTCCTCATGATACTGAGCACGTGCGCTCGATTCTTTTTACATTACCTTTACCTTTTTCACTTAGTTTAGCTGATTATAAGCTATTTTGGCCTCTTATCGATAACGTTTATTCCCTTCGAAATAAATCGCTACTTACATCAACAAAGCCTTACGTTTATTATTACGTCACGTGTCGATTCGAGCGTGCACGTGATGCTTCTCGGACTTCTACTTTTAGTCAACGAGGAGCTACTATTAAAAGAACCGAAAAAGGCGTTAAACCTCGCTGTAGCGTAGCGTTTTCTTTACGAGAATATAAAACTCACGTTGAATTTCATTCAGCTAATGGACGAGGAATAGCGCGGTCGGAAATAGTTCGGCACGAGCATTCATTAGACGAAAGTGACGCTAATAAGCGAAATGGACTCCTTCGAAACTTAGCGAAACAGCAAGCGGCGTCCGGTTACGCTCCCGCCGCGGTAGTTATTGCAATAAACGGCGGTAAAGGGCGTGCCGACGTTCAAAAAAAGCTTAAAGAAGCAGGTGGAGCATATTTTATTCGGCAAGACGTTATTAATAACGGCTTAGCGTGGCGCACGTCCAATCTT